TGCAGTACCGTTGAAATTGAACACATCAACGATCAGCTTCCGTCGTGATGGCCTTTGGATGTGGGTCTCGCCTAAGTGGCAACCTTGAAAATGGTTATCCGCACATCTGCATACGCCTTGGATTTCGCGGCATCCAGCTACATGTGGGATTTTGCCTTCCAGTGACTCTTCCTTGAATAATTCAGTCAGCAGTCAAGGCTTTGGAATGGCTACGAAGCATTCCTAGAATACTGATACTTTGTATCAATTATCGGTACTGGCCGATGCCAATTTGGCCGATCAAATTCTTCGCAGCTGCACGCCGCGATTCCTCTAGTGTTCTTTCAGAGAGAGCGTTTGAGTGGCCTTAGCACCATTTGCTACGCTGAGAGGAGCGGGTTGAATAAGGAAAAGATTGACATGCTCACATTCTTGATAATGAACAAGTCTCCTGCTTATCTCCGTCTCATGAATAAAATCTCGGGAAGCCAGGGCAATCTCGGGAAGCCAGAGCGTTTCACTTCTGGGTTCTGACAGACAACGGGTTGTATTTGTATTCGTATCAGTCGATACTGAGGCACTGGAATTGGTATCGGTCATGGGTATTCCTGAATCGGTGCATCCTTAGTTGCTATAATCGTTTTGCTTTAATCCTTTTTACAGCATTGACCTTTAATGCAGACGAATCCCAAGCGAGACCGCTCTATTTTTATCTGACGAGGACCCCGCCCATTGTAGACGATTCTATTCGTGAGGGAAAAACCTCACCATATATTCAAACAAAAATGGCAGTTTCCATTAATTGTCTACCTACGATAATGGATGGCTATTTTTAACTCGCCAGATACAAAAGACTTGAAGCCTCTCGCAGACGTATTTCCGTCTCAGTGTCTCCCGTACGATTTGTATGCAGGAGAATCGTGAGGGGGCAATCAGAAGATCCGATTTTATGAAGTAGCCTTGAGTTTTTCTCTCTGTAACTTTTAATATACTTGGGTATAATTGGTTAAGGAAAGTTGGAAATTCTTTTCAATCCGCTCCAAGAAAAGTTGAAGTTGAAACTTTGATTAAAAAAAAAAGTGTAAACTCCTGTTATTCCAACATGAAAAAAGTTTTTTTTGGTATTCTTCTCACTGATCGCTCACCCCGAATCGCCCTGATTAAAAATCGTATTTGATTTGTGAACATTGATTTCTAATTGATGACTTGAGGAATGCAGTGAATAGCTATCAAGGATTTCGATTTCAGCTTCGCTGAAGTCAATCAGGCCACCTATCTTCAGTAAACGAAAAGGAGTCCATGTGCATTAAATTACTATATTTTTTTCGGACTTATTTTTGCCCATAAATCCCATCTCCTCTTTAATTTTTACCGAGAGTATACTTTTAAACTTTGTGTTTCTTCATCTTCGCTTCTCCCATTTCTCTTCATACTTATATTTTAACTGAAAATTTTCCGTAAGGAAGTTCCTCCTTTTTTCAGTAGAAGCACATCACCAAATCCGATTATCCTACTCTACCCCACGCATCTATCCTTCTTTACCCCTAAATTCGATTAACTCAATGGAATCGGGGATCAATGAGGGATCGAGATTAGTCTGCTCATGCGCGTGGCACCGTAGAACTTGCCTTTTTGTTATTTTGGTACCTGTTTGATGCTTTGCCACGTGTGTTTGAGTTTCTTACAGCTTCATCAGTAACGTCACATGCTCTGAGGTTTCTCTTTACCCATGCTGAGTTTTACATTTTTTTTCAAAAGACGCCGAAATCCACGCATGGAATTTAATTGGTGCGGGGTTGCATCGTCGTCGAATTCAGAAAAATAGGGCAGATCTCATCCGGTTCTCTGAGAGACGGACAGCTGGAGCTGAAACACCCTACGGTCTCGTGGGTTCGGCCGTGGGGACCCGTCGTTGTCGGGGCGCATGCGTCACGCGAGAGAGAAAGGGGATGGCAACCCTGCCGAGTGAGGGGGGGGGGGGACATGGGGTGGTCTGGGCAGCGCTGCAGAGTGACAACCAGTGAAGGGGGGGAATTGGAGGATCCCCCCGCCTCTCTTTTTTCCTCACTGCCTCCATGAAGACACATTAGTGGCAAGATGCGAATAGTGATCGAATCGGGTGATCGAATTCCTGGCAAATTTTCTTCCGTGTTTGGCTGACTTCCGTCCCGCAACATCATGCTGCCGTCCGCCGATCTCAAGTGTCTCGTCTCCAAGGTGACTGAAATGGCCTCAGAGGGAGGGAGGGGGGGAAGAAGAAGAAATGCATACTGTAGTCTGAGCGTGTGGTTGGACCTCTGCCATTGGATAATTGCGGCCGATCGAGTGATGCCTTGGCTGCCCCATCTCTCGCTGATTGTCGTTATTGGCAAAATGTGATTGTTATCGTGGTCAAGGTCTGGGTGATATATGTCAGTCTTTGGCTACGCTATCGTGCTTTATAAATGCTCTAGCGAGTTTAATGTAGAGCAAGATGGTACGTAAATCACGATTCCTTCTCCTCCACTGCTTATCTGGAGTCGATGAGCATGTGCCACCTCACGAGCCGTAGCATTTAAGCAGCCAGCGTGGCTAAATGAAACATTCTGGCTAAACTGTGAGGATACTGATAAGTTTTTTTATTTTATTACCCTGGGGATATTTTATCATCATTCGCATGATTACCATGACGATATTTTACCGTCATATCGCATGGTTACCATTGCGATATTTTACCTATTTCTCATGGTACTTCCTACTCTTTCACGGATTCAAGCATCGTTCCTTGGCCCATGATAATTATATTCGAAGTATGATATTGTAGCCAGGGCACGAGAACGCACTCGAAAGCCTAATCTCATTGAAAAGCTCTGGGAATGAGACAGTACGTCGCGTTTGATGATCGATGCCACACCCAAGGAAGCCCGTCGAGAAAGTAAAGATCTTGCAGACTACCTTGAGTAGTCGATGAGGGTCACGCAAACCAAGGCAGGGAATTTTTCAAAGTTGCAAATCACCCTCTTTGTGTCATAAAGCTCTTCTTAAAACGTCCGCCTAGGATTGGGCTTTGGAATTTTGCGGGTGAAGTGTGGAATGGTGATTTCTGTTGATTTATGATTTTCAAGAGAGGTTTTGAGGACTGAGGCGAGTCCCCTAATTCCGTATCAAGCCCATTTTCGTTCCGTTCCGTCCCATTGCAGCTCTGATGGCTTGGAATAACTGTCCGTTTCCCCAGATTTATGCAAGGTGCCTGCACAGATACAGGAGGAGGATCGGTAGGGTAGGGGGCATATGAACGGCTTCTCTTACTAGCTGGGTATTTGCTCGACCATTGATTTCTGCTTTATTTTCTCCCAGTCTCCGCACCCCTCTGTCGGCGGCATCGATTTCGTCGTTTCGCAGGCAGAATTGAAAATTTTCATCCCCGGCTCCTCATTTCTCGCCTGGCTTCCTCCACGCTTCGTATAGTTTCTCAAGAATTTGCCTTTCCGTCTCTGTCTCTTTTCTGCCAGTATTTGCAATGCCATGACATGCACCAGTTCCCACGAATGGTTTATTTCGTTCGTTGTTAATGGGGGGAATGCAAATCAAGCAGAGCATCTGATAAGGTCAGAGTTCGGAGTTCTCAATTGGGTGTCGGTGGTCGCTTCCATCAGGAAGATGGCATCTCGGCATATACAGTATATACCTGGAGAGCAATGTCCATATTGACGTATCCTACCAGACGGAGTGCCGGGCACAGATCGATGGGGGAAAGAGGCGTGATGGGAATTTCAACGAAGCTGCCATGAGACCACTGCAGAAAGCAAATGTTTGCGCTTTTTTTTCTTTCCTCGACTACTCTCTTGTTTTCTCCCAGGCTCCCTCGTGTATCGCTTTTGTTGTATACTGAGGATCGTGATGGATGGCGTCATCGACCCGAGGGGAACAGCCCTCATCTTATGACAGACTCTTTTGAGGCACGAAAGTCCTCATGGTGCTCGTTGGCCGGAAGCCAGCAAATCGGAGAATTCTTTCATCAAGAGATTGCCTTCCATAATTTTGGGGGATATTCGCGCTGCATTTACCGTCATCGCGGGGCTTGTGGCCGCTTCTAGCTCGGAGAGTGAGTGCTGCTGAAGGAGAAAAAAAACTTGACCTTATTGAGTGCACGCAACAATGCTTCTAGAGTGCACGGCATTCCCCACTCTCGACTCAATAGTGTATAATATCTTTCCTCGTCGTGATAGGTGTACCGTAGGTTTCACGTGAAGCGTCGGTACTGTTACCTTTTATTTTCCTTTGCTCGCGTGGTCGAAAAAGAGGAATGGAAAAGTAACCTGCGTATCGGCATTTTTGACCGGTACCCCGCTATTCCCTTCCAGCGTATCTTTTGTTATGCAAAAGGCCATGAATAAGTCTGCTCAAGGACTAGAGAACAACTGAGAAGGAAACCAACCTCATCGACCAAAAAAATATTTCCTCATAGGTGTTTCATATAAACCTTTTGTATTTGCATTGGTCAACCCGGCTTTATCCTTTTATGACCTCCTTTTCCCTATGGGCCAATAAAGCAAGGAAGCGGATGAGAAGTGCATCGGATTCCGCGACCTCAAATAACCGTGATATGGAATCGAGGACGCGTGATGGGGAAAGGGAGGTAGGGATTGAGAAGGAATTGGCTCCGGGAATGGGACTGGAGCTCTTATCTGCCTGGAAATTCTCCACTCCATTGCTCTATTGTGGCCTGTAGAGTGAAATCAATTCTGGTCGGCTGATGAAGAGACTGCGAAATCCGAAAGGATCCTGTTAGAGCTCTTCGCACTCCATCACCGATCGAGTCATTGTGCTTAAGGGTGTGCAATCGCAATCATTCACAGAATCATTTCGTAATTGGATTGGGATCCCCCTCGAGCACTGTATTTGACGCGAGCTTACCGAAATGTGGAATAAACAATTAGCGTCAAAGAAGGGCATCATTTCGTGAAGGAAAGGAAACGCCCAGCCTGTGAGATAGGCCTCACGTCGAGGCCCAATGACGACGGGCCGGTAAACAGTGGGCGGGGGAGTAGGAAAAAAAAAAAAGAGGAAAACCTTGACACCTGTGGTATTTAGGCGGCAGTCCATTTTCGTCTCTCTTCACTTGGATGCGTGTGGATGTGGCAGGTCCGGGAGATGGAGGGTCGTCTGGCCGCAGCCCACAGCTCGGTCGCTTCGGCCGGGACGGCGAGGGAAGGCGACCACGTCGTCCAGGAGCACCTCAAGATCGTCTGCCAGGAGAAGGACAACATCATCTCTACCCTCCAATCCCAGATCGAGGAGCAGGTCCGTGTCCGTCCGTCTTGCGTGTGTCTGTCGGGGGTCGGTGAGATGTAGGGGCATCGCGACGTTGTTTGTATCGAGGGACCCGAGAATGGCCATGCACGTGTCCATTTTCGGGGAGAATCGATGTCCTAATGACGTGCAGTGGCTGAGTTTGAGATGTGTTAATTATGCAGATTGCATGTTGGCGTAATATATGAATTAGGTATCTCCCATCCATTATGAACAATGGACTCAGTCACGTAATAGTGGACGACCTTTCGACTGCAATACTGTAACCCAGTTGCCTTTTATGTCTGGCTCAAAATCGATCGCATTCGGCCCTTCTCTCATTTTTTTGTCTGCTTTGCTATGTTGCCGATGTGCTGTTTTAGTTTTTATTGGCAATTGGAGTTGGCATTGATTTTTGCATCTCTGTTACGGGCAGAAGCAGCTGCGTCTTCAAGAGGCGAAACAAGTGGAAGCCAAAGCAGCCCGGATCAAGGAGTGGGTCACGAACAAGCTTCGAGAGGTGAGCATCCCTTTCGTGATGTACCCTTCCGTGTTGCTCCGTTCACCGTGTATCGAGGTGGAAGGGAAAATCCGGGGGAATCCCCATCTGCAAAAAGCCCTTATCAATTAGAGGAGGGTCATTTTCGTCTCTCGACGTAAAAATAAGATGAGCGGAGCTTTCGAGACAAGAAAACTCAACATTTCAGACAATTAGAAAGACGGATGTGTTTCGGTTAAGCTGGGCTTCTGCTCTCTGCCATGATAAACTGATAAAGAGGCCGGGGGACAGGCCACTTGTCTTGCTTTTCCGCTCCACGTCCTCTTCAAGGGCGTTTTTTTTTTCCTCTTCTCAAAGGGCAAAAGGTCCTACCGAGCCAGCTTTCGCTCCTTTCCTCTTTTAAGCTCGGATTTACGATACCAACGTATTACTCTGGGCAACTCTCGTATCCTCATGAAACTGGATGCTATGGTTTGACACGGATAAGAATCAGTATGGGTCGGTTACGTACGAACGGGAGCTGAAAACTTTCCGAACTTACAAATATTACATTTGCGACTGGATCTTGGGAGTTTTGCTCCGTTTGTGCTTTTTCAACACGATGACCCGTAACCAATTCGCACTTTTTCCATCGTCCCCCCCCCCCCCCCCCCGAGTTTCTTAATTCCTGGGAGAAACAAAAATTTAGGAGTAATTTTTACCCTCTGGCTTGCGGCTGATGCGAGGACAGTCTCACTCGCGTCTTTCTAGACAATACATGTTAATTTGGGGGAAATGTGATTTTAAGAGAAGACAATGATTGAACTGTTAGATGAATGGAGTCGAGTCGGCAGCCTTGGTTAAGGATTGCCCAGATGAAGACAAAAGCAATTTGATGGTGAAATTGTGTACAGCACCACCCTTCATATATGAGGCCACCCCTGCTTTTCAATATTTGGTCTCCTTTAATAAGGCGCTGTAATAGTAACTAATATTTAAGAGCTAACTTTGTTTTTTGTCCTTTTAATTTATTGCGTTGTTTGACGTAATATTCTCTAAGTTTCATTCAGATCTGACTCAAGCGCGAATCGTGTCAGTTTATTTTAACGCTTCGAGAGCGAGACGCCGGGGTGGTATGGACAAGACCCCTTCATCGCTTGGTTTCACCTCGATTGTCTCGTCGGATCGCTTGAATGCTTAGGTGATTGCATTTTTATCAAGAGACGTTCCCAAAATTGCAGACGAGAGTGAAATTCGAATTTCATTCCGCATAGGCGCTGAAGAACGTTCCCAAGGGACTTCACGTGTATGGGAGCCATTTTGAGTACATCTAAGCAGTTGAAGTATTTTTTGTAGGAGTATCTCAACTCCCCATCGGGAAATTGCCTCATGGGACATGCTTTCTGTCGGAGAACTATGATCTGGTATAAGCAGTAAAAGAAGCCCTAGTGTTAAAAATGGCACCGAGGTTTTCCACCTAACCTTGGTAGGTCGTTGCTCGGGCGATGTACCGGTCGTGTCGTGGGAATAATTGAAATCGGGCATGTCGACTTCAGACGGAAGGAAGTATGAAGGATGGCTGATGTCTCGTTTCGTTACCCGTTATACGTTATAGCTGGAGGAGCAGAATCAGCAGCTGCGGCTACAGAACGACAAGTGCACGGAGCAGCTGGAGATCCTCCGTTCCCGAATGGCGCAGTTGAACGAAATGCAGACTCAGACCAACAACTTCAAGAGCAGCAAAGACCGAGCTTCGACGGAGGTGAGTCGCATGCCTCTGACTCGTACGGTACGATCGCGACGGGGAGAAAGGGAAAGCGTGACTGTAACCCGGTTGGGGGTTGCGACAGGACTCGTCGCGGGGGAGCTACGAAGGGGGGTCCCGGCCGGAGAGCGACGAGAGCGCGCCCGAGAAGCGGATCTCCTCCTCGGACGGCGTTTATGCGGAAGTGGACTTCTCCAAGAAGACCGGGCATCGGAGGACACCCGTGGCGTGTGGTGCCCCTCCGAGGGTGCACCTGGAACGGAAACGGTTCCCGGAAGCGCGGACGTCTTCCATCGGCTCGACGCCGAGCGACGAGAGTTCTCGAGAGAAGTCGTCCAAGTTCGACTCCGGATCCATGGACCTGGAAACGCCGCAGAGTCTCAGCCCCAGGAGTCCCCAGGCGCCTCTGGGACTGGGTCCCCTGGGACTTCCCATCCCGGCACCGCGGCACAGAGTGGTTGCTCCCGACGGCGCGAGCAGTGGTGGTGGTGGTTGCGTTTGCGCTCGGGACAGTGTCACGGGCGAGGAGAGTGACGATCGTACCGGTCCCATATACGACCACGTCCCGGTGAGACGGGCTCGGATCAGGGAGTCCGAGGACATGCACGACTACGCGGAGATCTACACGCCGAGTCGAGACGCGATGCCGTGGGGGGTGGCGATCGCGTCCCCGGGGGAGGAGGGGAAGCCCCCGACTCCCCCGCTGCACCGATTTCCCTCCTGGGAGTCCCGGATCTACCAGGTGGCGGCGGGGACGGGGTTCACGCTCTCGGAGCCGGGGACCGGGAGGGGTTCGTCGAGCACGGGGAGTGGGACCGGGAGCAGTCGGAGCAATGCTCAGTCCCAGGCCAGCTCCACGGGTCTGGGTTTCCCCGCTGGGTATTCCAACTTCAACATCCCCGTCTATTCGTCTGTCAAAGGGGTGAGTGTTCGTCTCTTTTTTTTCTTTCTCTTTCTCTTTCTTTCGATTGTCTTAAGAAGGCGGAAGGAAGAAGGTTCTGCATGGCGAGGTTGCCTAGACGTTCTTTTCTTTCGGGTTAACCCTTCTGTCGTGTCAGTCGTTGAGTGTTCAGCCCGGAGCGGAAAGTACGTTCCAGGTTTCAGAGAAGTCAGTTCGTTCGTGATGGAATCGGTCAGCTGTTCAGGGGTAGGGATGCGTCCGCTGCTGCTCTCGGGAATGGTCTTCGACGGCCTGGACTTGTTAACACGTTGGCGACAATGCGTCCTGATGCCAGGAAGGACAAGCAAAAATAGGCTGGTCGTCAACGTGTTAATGAGAATGTTTCGGATTTTTAGTCACCTTCAGGCTTTTTATGTATATACCCTGTGCAATCTTCTTTAAGAAAAAAAAAAAAAGACCCGTTAAAAAGGACCACTAATGAAGGAAGCTTTATGGGTCGTGGCCCTTGTTGGGAATCCCTTAAGCAGATCAGAAGGGTGATGGACGTCCAACAATTCTTCGTAATCGGGAGTCTGGCGTTTTTCTGATCCGGCTTCCGTGCGGATCTGAATCTGTCTCGGCCCCAAGACGAAATTGTGCCGAAATTCTTACTCGATTGCGGATAAGCCTACCTCTGGGTTCATAGTGTGAGTGGGTGACTGGAGTCCCGGGTTTGTAAGTCACGAGCTCGTATGTGGAAAATGAGAGACCATCTGCATCTCTCTTTCTCTCCCCCCCCCCTTTTGTCTGTATCGCGTGCCATGCGATACGGACTTTTTTTGCGTATGTAGTAACATGCAGATGGGGAGGGAATGGGATCGATGGAGTCATTGTTAGTATCCCCCTCTCCGGATCGATGGCGATTGTCGCGCTCACCATACATCACTTGTCTTTCTGGGTCGCGTTCGTCACTTGATATCGGCTGGGGAAGAGAGGACTCGAGGTAACAAAAGAGTGCACGATAGGGGGACCTTGAGGTCCTCAAGGGCCGCCTGGTGGAGCACCGTTCCGAAAACCTTTCGGAAATCGTTGTCGTGGTGCCTCGGTCGTAGAGAGGAAAACCTGTTCTCCCTGGGAAATTTTATTTATTCATAAGCCTTTAACCCTATTAGTGCCACGCGGCCGATCCATCGGCTCGATCGATTTTGTGTAGTACCCTACCCGTGGCACTGAAAGGGTTAAGTGTCCCGATGAAAATGGGAACTCGGGAAGAAGTTGGCATTTTCATTAAATTTTCGTTTATTCTTATATTTAGCAACTAAAATGAGCAGTTTTCCATCGCAGACTTCAATCTCTACATTGTCACCGAGGCTATTCATTGAAGCCTGAAGCAGACCGAGGAGTGATGCAATGCATTTCGATGGAATCCACTCCCTCTCCATTGTGCGATAATGGGGTCGAGGAGGAATGAATTTTCAAACGGCGCTGTAATCGATTCGTATTATGCAACATTGAGAGTGGAGGTGCACCGCACTTGCGCATCGCGAGTTCGCATTCGCGACGATGGAAATCGGTTTCCGTCGGCTCGAGTATAATCCACGCCGATGGAAAGAGGTTTCCTTTTTTTTGTCGAGTTTTTGCCGGGGTCGCGACCGAGGCGCGTCGGCATGGTGCAGTGAAGAATCCGCGAAAAGCATAGATAGAAATCTCGTGCTCGTATCGTCCCGTTTGGCGTACTTTTTTTCCCCTTTTGTGTCCCACGAAGCAAAACCGAGACAAAAGCGAATTACGGGCGTTCGCAGGCGATAAGAAACGACACCCTCTTAGGGGTCGGTACCGCTTGGACGAGCTGGACTAACAATATGTGAGGGATGTTTCGGAAGTTACGAGGTTTATCTAATTTGTCGCTTGATTTTGTTCTCAAGTATGTGGGACTCGTTCTTGTCTATTTGAGCGAGAGTGCCACACGAAGTCGACGAGGACGGTGCAGGACGCGTACGTTTGCAGCAATGCAAATGGCGACGGTAGGGGAACAGGGCTGAGAACTGAGCTATTTCTCATCGAAGAAATGTAAATAGTCCAAATTTCTTCTAGAAGAAATTTGATATATGTGAAGGAATTTGAACGCTTGATAACTTTTTTTTGCGATGATGCACATGCGAAGCAAACTCGTGCAGAGGGGATTTGCAACCTCTTGAAAATTTAAAAGGAGAATTCACTGGCTGCATCTTCATGTTTTTGACCCACCATGAACCGCTGAAGACATTGCCACGCGATGAACGAAAACCGACTCGCTTCTCCGGGGATCCCGTCGACGAACTTGTGTGCCCCGACGCTCGCGTGTTCCGGATGAAAGGGACTCGAGGAACTTAATTGGAATGGCTTGCTCTCCGAGCATCTCTCGTTATATGCAAAGTCCCCTTCGCGATACGAAGCGGCTCGATTGCGAATCGATGATTGCGTCTGCCCGTGGACGTTACCGGAAGTTACATCTCCGGGTGTCGAATAACGATGGACCCGAAACGTCGCAAGGTTTGTTTAACAATTAGGACGGGGGCGTCCGCCGTTCGCCGTCTTCAGGTATTCGGAACGTGTCTTTATTTTTTTTCCTCCGACCCGAGGACTGTCTCTCGTCTCCGAGAATCGTGTGACAAAAAATGGCATCATGAATTATGCATGGTGTTCTTGTAGACGAGTGAAGAGCAGACTCCTCATTCGCCTCCGTCTCTCTTCCTCCGAAAAGAGGAGACGAGGAAGCAATTTTTTTCGCTTCCCTGGGTTCCCCCTCCAGGGTGTTCGTTTCCGTTCCTCACGGTTTTCTATTTTTTTTTTTTTCCTATGACATTGGAAGCAGCTGGAACGGGGGGAACTGATTTTCAACCACCCTTCCTTCCCCCCATTTTTTTTCTTCCTAAATTGGGTTTTCGTCTTGCTCCAGGTCTCCCTAATGCGGTGACACATGCACCAACCCACGTCAGAAATAATCCGCTTGAAGTCGCGAACGATTGGCCCGACGTAATCGCCTCCGCATGTAATTTTTCCTCGGCTCTGCGGGAGCTTAAGGCTGGCCTTATTAGGTGCGCACCCTTTCCTTGCGCTCTTATGGAATGGTTTCCGAGTTTCCAACGCTTCTTCGTTCATGGAAATGAGCTGCTCCATTCTAAGAGGCAATTTTTTTCCTATCATGCAACTTTTCCGAAAGGCGGCGGTAGGTATCATCGAAGACGAGTTGGAATTGCGTTCAAAAATTAGCCGTTATGTTCGAAGAGCTTTGGAGAAGTACCTGATTGATTTTTATTGCGCTCTGTTTTTCTTTTACTCAGTTATTTGGTGTATAAATAGAAATAATGCGCAAGACCACGAAATCGGTATTCGCGCATCATTAAATATCCATCTCTTCCCATGAAATTCGTCTTTGGTTCCACGATTTTCCATGCAAGCCGGTCGATCGATTTCTGCCATCTCCATTAGTATACCAAGATAGCGTCGATTAATTCGTCGCGAAGAACGGTTCGCGTTCGTTTGCAGGCCCGAGATCCTCGAACGCGAAAGGACTCGTTCTGCCACAGACACTGCATGGCCTCGAACGGCCTGGCATCTGGGGCAGACAGGAAGGTGAGAAGGGCAGGGGGAGGGTGGGGGAGGGTGGAGACATCATCGTTTCAACGCTCTCGTCTTCGTTGATTGTCAGTCATGACGCTCTGTTTCGTCCTCGCTCCCCTTCTCTCTCCCTTGCTTTCCCCTCGCTCTTTCGGCGACAGGAGTCGGAGCCAAGATTTATTCGCGGTCCTTCGCTCCGTACATTTTAGTACGAGATCCATTCGTTTGAGGACGGTCTTATTATAGCTCGGCACGAATGTCACGTGATGACCGGTTCGGACCGTCTTCCCGGGTCCCCGTGATGGGCCCATGCACTCCCGCGGAATGCTCCCATTCTCGAGGACGTCGCAGTGGGGAAGGGGACGTCGTCGGGTGCCGCACGTGGAACGCATCCCCACGGATCCTCTAGGAGGAGGCGAAGGTCGAGAGCGAGGAAGGAAGCCGATCGATGGCGAAATTCCGGGGTGTTCCAGAGTAATTTCGGTCGTCGATGACTTTGTCGTACTTCCATCGTCTGCCTTGCGGTGTGGGCGATCGGACGTGGAGTAAGCGTTCGCAGCGGGTGACGACTCGGTTCGGACCGGTCCGGGTGGGCTACAACGTTTTCGTGGACTGTTGTATGACTTTTTCAATATTTCTCGACGTACACGTAATGATAAGGATGTCGGTGAGAGGCACGAATGAATGTCCCGGGTTCGGTGTAATGGAAGCACATCTGACCGACAATCGGGAGGCCCGGGTTCAATTCCCGGCCGTCCTCTGGCTTTCTTTCGTCCTCTCCTCCATCCAATCTTCCCTCCCGGCCATTCTCACGACACTTCCATGACGCCAAGAATGACGGGATAGTCGGATTTTGAGCCGAGCCCATGATAAGTCGAGTCTTTCCCGGTCTCCCCTCCCTCCCGTCCTGGATTCCGCAAAAGCAAAAGGAAACCGAATATTGCCGCTTTCTCCCCCCTCGAAATCTGATCTTTTTGATGAGAAGTTGCTCGGGAACACCGAGAAGCGAGTCGACGGGGTCGGAATATGCCGATCTGCGCAGGCAGCCGAGGAATCGCGAAGCACATTAGTATACACTTTAATGCCTCGATTTCGTTCCCTCTTATCGCGCTTTCTTGTCGTGATCGATGGCGTGACATTCTGGGAGTTTGCCAACAGGCATACCGATTCCTACCCCTTGTGTTGGAGTTGCACGCGTTTCATGCAATCTCACTCGCCAGGGCGTCTCATAAGTCGCGCGCCACAGGGAATGTCAATATCAATCCGTCAGTTTATGAATTTCACTAAATGTTCTCGATGCAGAACCTTGTTGTTCGTGCAGAGACCAAGTCTCTTCTTCCGTGGTTCTTGGACCCCTTGCAGAACCGTGGGAGTGATGGGCATGCATGTGTCGAGGATACGTTGCTTCGAGCGAGCGATATCTGGAATTTTGACGGCTTGCACGACGACCTTGACTCGTCCAACCCTTCAACGCTGCTGCAAGGGGTTCAAGAATCACGGAAGAAGAGACTTGGGCTTTGCATTCGGCAAGAAGGCCACTAGATTGAATATATTAGTGTAAATTCCCTAGATTGATGTATTGATATCGATATTCCCATGGTGCGCGACTTACGAGACACTCATTATAATGGACTCTAAAGAGAGACGATGCCTAGTCTTTTCTGGCCAGATGTCACGGAAGCCGAAATCGAAGCGATACACGACTATTTCGTGGTGGTGTACGTAACCGGGACGCGCTCTAATGTGCACACCACGTGGAGTTCTGTTAGTCTGTTTGGTCGCAGCGGCCAGGGCCAGGCCCCGAGATGCAGGTCGGAGGTGAGACGTTTCGAGACGTGTCGCGTTTTTGAGCAACTCGCGAACGTGAAGCCTTTGGTGCGCGGTTGAGCGAGACCGCCGCCGAAGTCGAAAAGTGTTCCTGCCTTACACGGGGAACGTGGCAGTGGCACACCCCAGTTATGTGCATCGGCGCGAAATTTTGTGTAGCGCTCCGTTTTCACCGTTAAGATACGATTCCGAAAACTTTTGTGCGTCAAACGACTGAGGATGGGAAAGACGCTCTTTGGCCTATTCTTTCATCCGATTGGACGAAATCCACCCCTCATCGGATAGTTATGCGCTTGAAATCGTGTATGTAAGATATCGTGGAAAAGCTTATCGCCGGTGCTACTACGGGCAGAAAAAAAAACCCTCACGAAACTCCTGGAATGCGAGAGAAGCCTGGATTCGGGCTGGAGTGACCGCTCGCTTTTGAATCGTCCCCGTTCTAGGCGCGTGGAATACGTAGTGGGGCCGGAGCAGGCTTCAGTACCTACTGGGTGGGTTTTACGAGTGGCCGACTGGGAAACGAACTTGGATCGGATGGCGTTAAGGAGGCAGCGTGGGCGGAGGGGAGGGAGGGAGGGGGGGGGGAAGGGGCCAAGTTTTCTTCGCATCGATTCCCTGGAGGGGGCTACTTCTTAATTGAAGAAGATTGCTCAATCTCCTGGAAATGGGGAAAACCTTCCCTCTCGCCTTCAGGTCATAAGCCTCCTGGATGATATAAAAGAGAACTCCGGAGAGGAAGGAAAAGATGTTAAGGGGAGGGGGGAGGGGGGGAGGTGGAGATGATGATTTTCAGAATTGGCAAGCGCGAAAAAACTCATCACTTTCGACGCCCTATATACGCTCGTACGCGTTCATTTCCTGGTTTTGGAATTTTTTATGCTTGGATATGGTTGGTGTGGGGGGAATCTTATCCTGTGCTCACTAAAAAGTCATCAGAGGCTTACTCACGAACAGAAACTTTCCTCTCTTCCTCTCGAGAAAAATTTCCCACATCCTCGGGAATCTAGACCGTGGCTTGCGTGTGACGAGTGACGTCAGAATGCCCCATTTCCACCGGAGTGGGTTGCTAGGTGCGATGTCGGCGGTGTTCGCGATGAGGGAAGATGCCGGATATCGTCCCTTTCTCGTTCCCGCTCGTCGTCGCAACGGTCACAATCGATGACTTGCATTCGGATGAATGAGAATTAGATATCGAGTTGAATTTGTCACTATTCACAATTTCTGCTCGGTCACGCCGATCGCACCGAAACACGCGGACGAAGCGTCCGTCGACGAGAGACACGATTTTCGGTCCGAGAACTGCATCGCGCGTTGCCTTTTTTGGCATCTGCTCGGAGATGTCGCACTTGGGACTGTGAAAGTCGCTTCCCAGATGAAAGTAATTGCCGCGACAGTTGTTTTCGATGCCCATATCGATCGGTCGCTCCAGTGGTTCGCGAGACTCGGTGCCATTGCGAGGCCGTCGATAAGGAAAGTAATAAGTCTCCGAGTAAAAACGAGTTTTTTTCCGCTTCCGGGGTCGTATCTCGCCGGAGAAGAGTGGAGGCATTCACGAAGCGGGAGAGCATCCATCCTCGTCGGCCTCTCGGTCCGATTTTCGAACGGTATTTTTTATTTGCTCGGATTCGGTCGGAGCGGATCTCGGCACGCCGCGGCGATCATCGACGGTTTTGCATGTCTGTCGATGCTATTCGTGTCTTGAGGAGGAAGAATCACGGTCTATCAATAGGACGCAATCTATGAATAGAATACGGTTTATCTCATCCTCGGTGAGGTGTGCGTGATTCCGTTGATAGATTCCAGCATGTGATTCCTTTGGGGGGGAAAAAAAGGCTCGGATCCGATGAGATGAGCTTTTGTGTGCAGGCTTTGACGATGCGTGGGAAGAAGAAAGGGGAGAAAATGAAGCGACGAGAAAAGTCGGCTTTGGCCGCGATCGTTCGCCGTAAAAATTTCAAGGTTGAAAACACGTGCGGGAATACCAAGTACTGTCGGTTCCAGGACGTTCCTCGAGTTATTTGTGTATTTCGTCTCCCTTCTGTCGGCGTGGAAGAGATTGCCCCGCTTCCTGCTACTTCCGTTTCTTGTCGTGCTTTTGGGAGATGTGGCTGGCTCTGTTGACAGAGTGCTCGAGCAAATAACGGCATTCCGGGGGATGCGGTTATTGCTCCGGACGAGGCCGCGTTCCTTGTCTTCCTCGGTCGATTTTCCCCGTTTCAGTCCTCGTTTTCATTCGTGTTCTGTAGGGGAGATCGGAACAACTCTTTTGACCCCTTCAGGCCCGAATTATTTCTGATAATGTTGTCTTAATTTCTATGGTATTGTGATGTGAAAAGAAGTCATTAAGGGTGGATTTTTGAACAGAGCATTATCCGATAATGCAGCTTTATTTACCGGATTTATAATGCATTTTCTCCGAAATAAAGCTGCGTTATCGGATAGTGCTCTGTTCAAAAATCCACCCTTAAAGGGTTTCCAAAATTTTAAATATAATAGTAAACGAGATATCGAATGTACATACATATGTACAAATGGTCTCAGTCACTTTCAAGAAAATTTTTTATTTATTTACACTACACTATGTATGTACACTAGGTCTAAAGGGGTTAAGCTGCTAGGTGCTTCACGGGTCAAGTTTAGCAGGATGAAGTTCGTCGATCGTGTTATGTGAGAATGGATCTTGAGATTCTAAAACTATTGACAAACTTTTTTTTTCATTCTTGCAGATTTTCTAAAGTCTATATTATCCAAAATCTTGTCTTCCCCACATTTCTCGCATGATATATTTATAGCATATATATTTATATATATTTTTTTTGTTCTTCCCCACGCAGAGAGCATCCCAGATCCGTCCGGTCCCATTCTCGGGCGACTCCTCGGACTCCTCCGACGGCGAGGAAGGCGAGGGGTCGTCGGGGGGCCAGCCGGACGCGGGGGACGCCACGTCCTCGTCCCCCTCCAAGCCCCGGAGGACGTCCAGTCTTTCATTCCCTCACGCTCATGTCGTCTCGCCCTCGAGGACTCCCCGCAGAGGTCTGTGGCGATTTCGATGTGACTTGGTGTGATCTGGTTTTCGCGGTGGAATGGGAGCCACCCGAATATATTTATTTTCTTTGAAATTCGCGAATTAATATATATAAAATTACATATGCACGTTGGATTTCTCTGGCTTTGTTTACCTTGTCCATGGTGTTGATTGTTGAAATTGTGAAGTCTTAACTTTGTCTAATATCATTTAGTCTTTGATCGGCGCTCCTTCTTGCAGCTGATGAGACACAGAGACTAGTAGTTTTGACAAAACCAATTTAAAAAAAATTTGAAATTTGAAGTCCTTGTATTCACGCGGCTATCACGATCACGATGTCCTGGAACTTCAGAGATGAATTTCTGCCCGTTTTCCGACAGGGGATTCTTTGGAATCGGAGGATTACGCCATCCCTCCGGACGCCGGCGTGGAAGCCGAGCCTCCGTCGTGCTCACATTCCTGTCTTCGGACGTCGTTCGTGGACACCCCGCGTCGCGACGCCGTGATCCTGGAGAAGTCGGGCTACCTCACGAAGCTGGGAGGGAAGCTCAAGACGTGGCGGAGGCGCTGGTTCTTGCTCAAGGATGGGACGCTCTCTTATTGGAAGTCGCAGGTATCCTCGTCGTCTGATGGCTTGCGGTCGGGTTCCGAGAGGCCGAGCGCGGAGGGGGCTCGGAGGGGATTCCTAATTCATCCGCGACGGCTTCGCCGCGTCGCAGTATGCTGCCTCTATCTCCCCTCTTTTTCTCGATGGGAGAGGGAGATAGCGATTTGAATGCCGCTCGGGCTGCAGGTCTATCGATCAACTGTACATGGGGCTGTCGGGGCCGATACGGCAGGTGTTGTTCGGGGGTACCGTGGTCCCCTATATATCGTGTGGAGGTCAACTTTTGCGGAAGAGAACTCCCGAAAGTTGAGAGTAACCGAATTAACCCTTTCGATACGATAATCACGTACGGCGTACGTCATGTTTCATACGTGTTTTACTAGCTATTGTGGCACACAGGAAGGCTGACTTCTGCCTTAATGCAGTACACAAAACTTCCTGTTTCGACAATTTTCCCTTAGAGCCCGCAGATTCGTGGCATATGGTAGGTCTAATGGCAGTACGCAGGGTAAAGGCTGCATGCTACTTACGTTACTCGCTCGGCAGTGAAAGGGTCGAGCGTCCTCTCGATCGTGGAGTCTCGCGGAGAAGCCATGCCTTCGTTGACGAACGAACGCCGTTGTCCCTTCTAGCACGACGTGGGGAAGAAGCCCCAAGGCGAAATCGTCCTGGACGAAGGATCCCGGGTGAGCCGAGCGGACGGAGCCGGGACGTTCGAGATCACGACGGGGAAGAGGACGTACTACCTCACGGCGGACTCGCACGCGACGATGGAGGAATGGGTGAAGGCCCTCTCGTCCACGCTGCGGTGGAGTGCCACCAAGGCCCTGCTGCACAGGGAGGACGGGAAGCCGACCGTACAGGGGTGGCTGACGAAGGTCAAGCACGGGCACTCGCGTCGGTGTTGGGGATTGCTCGCCGGACGTTGTCTGCTCTTCTTCAGGAATCCCAACGATACCGTGAGTGGAAGGACTGCTTTTCGTTTGAGCCCGCCGTCGGACTAGGCTCCGTCCCTTGGGATCGTCCTTGGGTCGTGGGGTATATACTTCATACGCGAGAGGTTACGTTCTGTGTCCTGTCGATTTTATGTTGCCATTACTCGTGACGTGGGTGTATCCCAGCCGGTGAGTTTTGGCTTTCAGGTTTCAGAAATGATCGAGGTAATCTTATTCGTTCTAAACTTTGTCCTCGTTCCACTTTTTCGGTGACAGCAGATGATGTCGATTTTCTGCCACACGCTTCTAGCCAGTCTGACAGTATTTCGTTCTACGAGTCTCATCGGAAGTTCACGATTCGTTGCTCGATCGATCGCTTTGATCGTCGTTCCAGGCTCCGCTGAGTCAGCTGAACTTGAAAGACGTGAGAGTGAAAGACGTGGAAGAGATTTCGGATTCCTCCGAGGAAGGCGACGGCGAGGACGGCGAGACCGGCGTGACTGGAGTGACTGGAGTGACCGGCGTGCCGGCGAGGTGCGACGGGAGCTACAGCGGGGAGGAGGCGCCGAAGGACCGATTTTCCGTCGCTCTCTTCCCGCCCCATCAGGGGCCCATTTATGTCCTTTATGCGTCCAAGGAGGATAAGGTGCCGAGGATTCGCTTTTTTCTCTGGTCGTGCGTGTTTTATGCTGGGTCTTCACGGTGAGTGTGGTTGGTCTGCGTAGGATCAGTGGTTGTATCACCTGACGGTCGCTTCGGGGATCGGGTTAACGCCCGGTACTCAGTACGAGCAACTGGTCCAGAAGCTCATGGAGGTGGACGGTGATTCGAGTGAGTCTTCCTGTTCTTTTCCATTTCGCGTTACGATGTGGGATGCTGCCTGAACTTGAGATGCGAAATGGGTGTATTCCTGGAATCGTTCTATTGCAGATAGTGTCATATGGAGGCATCCTCTCCTGTTACACAGCAAAGACCCGATCGTCTCCCCGTTGACAACTCTGCCTTCGGAGTCTTTGCAGAACGAAGCAATCAAGCTTTTTAAGGTGAGTCGTTGACAGTCACAGTGACACGACCATCCCGTTTGATTGCCGACGTCGGAGTATCATCTATGCCAGCCGTGAATTTTGATTCGGAATGTCCGTGGTTTATTGCGACGTCCCGTTTCTCGGTATGGATACCTGTCGATTTCTTGTGGGACAGAGGTTCAGATGGGCAGGTTCTTCCTATTCCAACTACTTTTTTGAATCGGTTGCTGTGGGATCAAATGGATAGATGTATCTGAGGAAGTCCATAAGTCAGTCGATAACATGCTTCGTGTGTGGAATTGTTCAGGGGTGTAGTCCTAACTAAGGAAATGCTTGCGCGCCCTACAACAGTGGGGAAGAGTTGATTCGTAGCAACCTTGCAGCGAGGGAGGGGGAGGATGTACTTGAAGCAAACTCATGCTAATTGGACTACTCCTCCAACACGCCCTTACCCTTAGCTATGTCCGACGCCCTAGACGGTCATCGTGGTGATGTTTAGTCACCAAAGTCAGCAGAGTTGGTTTTCCCTGAAGAAAATATTCCCTGAGCACACCCAATCACAGAAAGGAGGATCTGGGCGTCACCCTGCCCCACCCACGCCCCTCTACACCCCTGGTATTGCCCCCACCCAGACTAATCTTTCCCACATTCGTGCACTTTGGGATGTCTTACTCCAAGGACACGGCATTTCTTTTCAAGTTTCCGAGTCGATTTGATGCCCCTTTTGCAAGCATTAAAATGTGCAAGTCACATTGGACAGGATATAAAATTGGAATTGTGCAGTATGTGTCGAGAGACTCATCGATGACTGCAGACACAAAGAAAATATTTTTTAAGTTTGGATTTTTTTTTCCTTCCTTGCAGTCGTGCCAACTGTTCGTGTCGGTGCCTGTGGATTCGGCCGGAATAGATTACCACGTGGTTCTAGCCCAGAATGCCCTCCAACTATGCCTTGATCAACCGGCCTTGCAACCCGAACTCATGTGTGCCCTCGTCAAGCAGACATCCCGTCACCTCACTCCCAAGGGGGCTGCCCACGTCAACAGAACCCTCAACAAGTTCAAGCAGTCGCGAGTGAGTTTCCGTCTCGTGTCTCTCGATTTCGGTCGGGGCAGGCTCGGTCGCATCATCGCGGTGGTCTTCTCGTCCTCAGCTGCTGTCGGCGACGCAGTCGCTGTTCCTCTGTGATTCTTCGGCAGCCCAGAAGTCGGCAACGAGTCCCCCACCGGTAGCTCATCTACCGCCTCCTAGCGACTGCAAGGCGAATCCTCCCATGTTTGTGTTCATTCAAGGGTGGCAACTCCTATCCTTGGCTGCTTCTTTATTCCTGCCCAAAAACAAGTGTTTACTCTGGTACCTGAAGCTTCACTTTCGCCGCAATACCGACCCAAAGTATGCATTTTTTCTTGAGATCATTTCTCTGCCGATTTGAAAATTTGATCTTAATCATACTTTGTAATTTGAATCGTAGGAGTGAGATCGGGAAGTATGCAGCTTACTGCGAGCGAGCGATGGACCGGACGTTGCGGAAGGGACCCCGAGAGTCTAAGCCCTCACGCATGGAAGTCCTCTCCATCCTTCTCAAGAATCCCTACCATCATTCTCTTCCTCATGCCATCCCTGTCCACTTGCTCAATGGATCTTATCAGGTGCACTTTCGGTTTTGTTTGCCAACTGCAAAAAGGCTGGGATCGGGGTGGGCAGGGAACCACGACTGATTGTCATGCCTGCATATCGGAAAAAAGATAAAACTATGTGCATTAGGTCACTAATGTGGGAAGATAGTTGTCGGAAAGTTTCACCAGCAGTTTCTGTGATTCTTGCACTCCTTACAGAGTGCACTTTCACAATTTGCAGTCGTGGGATATCTCATTTACCTGTGATGTCCGTACTATCTCTTTTATTTATTCAAGTCATCTCTTGTCCCATCTCACTCCTGTGAGCATGTGGTTCAAGTATATTTTATGCATGAATTCTACGGTGCCAAAGGTTAATTCACTTAGTTGCTTGTACCTGGTTACTATTCCTCTCGGACTAAATGTAATTTTGAATCGCATGTCACTTGGCACTTCTTTATCGATTGTCATGTTTTGATGCAATGTGACAGGTGCTGGGATTCGATGGATCCACGACCGTGGAGGAGTTCCTCACCTCCCTCTCTGCAGAACTGGGCTGTCGGGATACTCATCAGTCTGGCTTTGCTCTATATAGTGATGACCCCTTTGAGAAGAACATGGAACACTACTTGTTGCCTCATTCCAAGGTGAAAAGTGAAAATTGGAGTCCACGGTATCACTGTTTTTAAAGCTGCCTGGAAACTAGTGACTGATATTTGACTCGTTCTTTGTACCAGGTGTGTGACTTGATCTCACTATGGGAGACGGCACTGAGGGAGAAAGGACTGGGAAAGTTTGAGACGACTCGAGTCATCCAGCTGCGCTTCAAGAACCGTCTGTACTGGAAGGGGAACAGCGTCGGAGAGACAGACAGAGAGAGGGTTCTTTTGACTCATCAGACGCATCAGCAAGTCATGAGTGGACTCTTTCCCGTCTCGCGTGATCTCGGTCTGGAACTCGGAGCCCTCATGTGCCAAGTAAGCATTCTCACTTACCTTTTCAGGTGTTATTTGACTTTGTACAGAGTATTTTTTTTATGGCTAAAATTTTGACTTGCAGATCGAGTACGGAGATTACGGGACGGAGAGAAGTCGAGGGAGTGGAGGTGCTCCATCCGATCCGAGGAAGGTGGTGGAGAGGTTCTTCCCTCCTCGATACCGTGAGAGCTTCACAGAAGATGAACTTCAGTGAGTGTCTTCTCTTTCGTCTCTGTCGCTTCGAGTAGGGATTGGAAGGTACACGAATTCTGTTGCCTGTACAACAGGGCACTCTCTCATGAGATGATTGCCAAGTGGGCATCCCTTCGCGGCAAAGGATCTCAGCAGTGTGTCCGCATCTACCTGACGTGCGTTCGCAAGTGGCCTTTCTTTGGGTATACACTCTTCCAGGCAGAGGTGAGGCTCCTTGTCTCGTTTCTCTTCTCGTTTTCATTTCGTGCATTTCATAATTGCCTTCACGATGGGAAGAGAATTTTGAAAGCACTGGATGTGTTCTCTTGATAGTTGAAAAGTGGAGACCAGCCTGGAGTGTTACTGGCCGTCGGTGAGGATGGAATCTCCTTGCTGGATGTCGCCAACCTCCAGCCGTTCGTCACCTATCTGTACGATAGCGTGATCACGTTCGGTGGGTGTCAAGACGATTTCATGCTCGTAGTGAGCGAGGGTCCCCGCAGATCGCCCGCTTACTCTGGATCTCACACCCAAAAACTCTTGTTCCTCATGACCAAACCCAAGGTCAGTCAGGGGGAAAAGTTTTTTTCCTTTCTCATGCAGTGCATGAATGAATTAAAATGGAACTCGCAATCTAAGGTTTTGATGCATGATGTCCTTCTTCCAGGGAGGTTTTTAACGTGACTTTTTATTTTGAATTTAATGTTTCAGATCTTGGAGATCACGATGCTGATCGCCGACTTCATGAACGCGCGCGGTCAGTCGGCATCGGTGATGGGAGGATCCTCCACCCCCCTCCTCGGAGGGACGCTCACCCGACACGGGTCCATTCGCTCCCGACGGGGGGTGGGAGAGCCGGATGTGATTAGGATCGCCGCCGAGGTGGACTCTCGTGTCGTCAAGGGTGCCAAGGGCAAGAAGAAGCCGGACTCGTGTCTCTCATGATAATGTCTCGTGTTCCATCTCTAGGCATCTGAATCTCATCTTAAATCTGACTCTCCTCATCCTCTTGCCTTTCTTTCAAGGTGAACCCTGTCACCGTGAAGGAATCTAAATCAAGAAATGGAGTAGCATCTCATTTCGTTTATTTTTTATGGCATAATTTTAATCATGGAACTATATGAAGAATTTCGTCATGATCTGTTTACTTCCTAGGAATTGGTGGGACTTGGCCAGAATTTTTTTAACTTGTTCTTGAAAATACTCTGTTTGCACATGTGTAAACCATTTGCCAGACTTGAACCATTTTGATATTTGTTGCCAGACAATTTAAAGCTCGATCCTCTTTTGAGAATGTTGCAATATATGTCTTCTGCATTCTTCATGGATCTGAAGATGTTCTCTGCAGTACTTATGTCCTGGTGCACTATCATGACTCCATTGAGCAGGGCATACCTTTGTTTTTTTTTTTAAAGCAGCTTTCTTCTGTATGACATGGATGCTGATGCTTTGTTTTAGTTTTGATGATTTCTTGTGTTTTCATGCTTGCATGTATCCAGAGAGAGAAAGTGGATAAGAGAAGAAGAAAATTAGTTTATTCACGAAGGATGGTATCCGTAACCTCTCTAGCAACGATGATGTCCGGAAGAGGGAACCATCGGAAGTCCCGGCCTCGTTCCAGAGGTCTCTCGTGTCTCGTGCCCAGGTGCCTGTTTTTTTTGTTGTTGTTTGCTTCGTTTTACCCTGGTCTCCTGCTTTGGTTTCCTGTGACACCCCTGCCCCATGCAGCAAGTCAAAATGCTTGAAATGTGATAGCTAGTCAAGAAGACGGGGGTCGTCGATGTTTTCCACTGAAGTCAGGGTTCATCTATCACAGGTGTGATTGATATTTATAGAAGTGTTTTCGTTTTTGGGTTCCCCTCTTTTTTTTCTCTTCATGTGAGTGACGGCAACAATGAATCTCAGTTTTATAAAGTTCACGTTTCTCTTCATTCCGTCCATCAGGACCAGATACGTACATTTCTGAAAGTATCCAGCGTGCAGCAACCGATATCTCCAAACCGCGGGAGACTCATCCGGCTGATCCGAGAGGACACGGAGATGATCCTCCCTGAAAAAATTTTCCGCGATTCCAATTAAATCCACTGAACACGCACTGCTTGTCTCTCAAGAAAGGAGAAAATTTTCACATTTTGTCACTCGTTAAAGTGAGAGCATACTCTCGGGAGCCCCTCTCCTTTCGGTTCGATAACTACTTACTTTTGAATATATAAACCATTAACAAACGCCACTCGAAGAAAATGGACGAAACCTGAATTGGGTGAGATCTGGAATAATCCTCGATTCGCATCTTGTGTTCGTAAAACTCGAGGAAATGAAAGGAAAGTCAGAAAGATAGTTGGCAGAGCGAACTCCTTCAATAATTCATAAGCTGCTTAAGGTAAAATGGGGGAATATCCACTTGAGATGCCTTTCGTATTTATTCATTTTATTTGGACAGATATGCAGTTGAAGAGCGAAGCACCCAGCCTCTTCTTCCTATTTTTCTCCACTTCGAGCTCTTCCATAGGAAATTCCAAAATTAGCTGGTCAAGGAGTGTCGATTTTCCCGCAAAGGTCGACCCTCTCCCCCCCTTAATGCATATTTTAACACGTTGGCGGACGATACGACCATGGCCTTGTGAGCCATCTGTGGGAGAAGTTGTATCAGATAGCATGGGCGGCTATTCATTGGGGCTCAGGGGGCTCGAGCCGAAAAATTTAGCAGAAGGGGCTCACAGCGAAAACATGAGGATGAGGAATACTTGCAACAGAACTGTCCTTGAGCCCCCCCCTCATATTTCTGAACAAATCGCCGCCTATATCTGATAGTACAAAATGAGTGGGAACACACGCAAGTGGAATGCAGTCGGCCATAGTGACCTAATGGCTATAGAGGGATGCTGAAGGGATGTTCATCGGTTCCGTAACAATGGGTGTGCGAGCGGTGCACAGGGCGCCGATCGGCTGCTAAAATACGAATCCAATTTTACGAGTTCACCATAATTACTTGTAACGAAACGATACAAATTCTACGCTAATTTTTCCTTTCAGATGGGAAATACGCCCCTAATTCTGATTTTCCAATACGAAATGAAAATTTCACCCCCCTTCCCACCTCCATGTTGCATTTTCTACTATAAGCGCCTATTAAAAGTAAAAAATTGACCACGAATCTCTTAGTTGAAGCCGAAGGGGCAGTCATCCCAAAGAACGTGTTGCACGTAATCGAGGAAAATCCACATATTTACCTTCACTATGACCATAAGTTTTGCTGTGGTTGAGAAATTTTCGCTAGTGAATCTGTGAATCGACTGTAACACTTCCATCAAAACTGCCATTGATGAGATTGCGTGTTCAAATGCATCGTTCTCCATAATATAATGTGTTGTAAAAGTACTGTATATGATCAAACATGAGTTCAAGAAGAATTAGTCAGTGACCTGAAGTCAGAGGTCACACACGTGACCTCTCGAAATCTCGCACAGGGCACCAAACATCCCCGGTATGGCGCCGACGTTTCTGCCTCATCCCGGTCGTCGAAACCAGGCGAAACCGTGATATACGGTGACACTCGGAGACTCGCGTTTCGCGATGGGCGACCCTGGGCCAGTTCCATAAGAGTTTTACAGGTTACAAGCAACAAGTTACGAGTATGATCAAGGGTCGTGTCGTCTTGTTTAATTCTTCCAGCGGGTCCCGCTGTGCTAAGCCTAGGCATGACGTTTATGAGTCCCGTAGATGAGAGGGAGTTGTAAAAAGGGGAAAGCTATTGAAAAGTGGATTTCACACCACTTCATACCGGAATGGAATTCGCATCTCCCATCTTCGAAAGAAAATTTGAGTGCACCCCGTGACCCAGGGGAGCTGGAGCGATTCTAAGAGAGTGCGAAGCATACCTGATTTTTCTGTCAGAGAGAAATACGAAGAGGTGGAATTTTGTAAGGGGATCAAGAAGGGGAATAGGTTCACGATTTCAAGGATTGCAAAATTTTGGGGGATTCGAAGCCTTCGGGATGTCGGGGAGGGATGAGAGGTCGAAACTCTCCAGAGAACCGAGTGGCACGACCGATCGCGAAGAACTGAGAAGACCCTTGGGGCCCTTCGGTTCTGAAGGTCTTGGGCCCTTCGGTTCTAAAGGTCTAAGACGCCCCGACCGCGAGCGACGTGCTGCTCGTCCGCTGGGTCCAACGAATACCAGCGACTGGATGACATCCCATCAGGGAGGATGACATCCCATCAGAGAGGATGACATTCCATCAGAGAGGATGACATCCTTCAAAAAAGTCTTCGTTTGTAGCTATGTTGCACCCGCCGGAAAATGTGAATTTGAATTGCGTTATCACGTAACCATTTTTTTTAAGAATGACCGTAACTTGTGTACTTTTCGACTTCGTATCGAGAAACCGTCGGTGCCGTCGGGCCACCCTCGAGCCACCCACGAGCCACCCACGAGCCGCCCGCGCTCAAAAGCCCACGTGGCAGTTCATCGGGTCCGGCAATCATGGCATCGAGAATCGTCTCGTGACGATCGGGGCCCTCATCCGAGTAAAGGTTACCCCAGACATATTATTTCCCGCGGAAAACGTGGGATTCATCACCATGGTGACAATGAGACTCGGAGCGGATGAAAAAGCCGTTCAAAATCCCAAAGTGGAGCACTTTCCTTTTCCATTCGAATCCGAAAGATCTCTCGGGGTGAAAAGCGATGCAATCGTTCCCGGCTTCAAATCAGGGCATTTTCATTCACTCCCATTCACTTCATTCGAGTACGAATTCAATTTTTTTTCCCCTGCTCATTTCGATCGCGAATCGGTCAAACGCGATCGCCGGTCGATTCACGCCTCGCCATCTCCAGGGCTTCCGCGGTTTTGATCGAACGAGTGAACGATGGGACTGTGGTTCGTTCGAGGGGGAGGGGGGGTTTTCTTTGTGGGGGGGTTTTCTTTGAGGGGGAATTTTCTTTGAGGGGGAGTTTTCGAGGCATCGTGGTGTCGAGAGCCGATTCGTAGGGATGGCTCGGTTCAGCTGCGTTCCAATAATTACAGTACTTCTTCCTTCGCGAGAAATGTTTTGAAATCTTCAATGGATTTCCCTTTCATACAAGATCACGTAAATCGCGACTCGGTGACTTTCATCGATAAAAATTTAACGGCTTCTTAATGCCTGACTCCCCGAGACGCCTCGTTACGAGATGGGGGGGGGGGGGGGGGGGTCCGGAGGCAAGGCTGGCCGTGATGGGGGAAGCTGGAAAAAAATTTGAAGGGAGGGGAAATGGGAGCGAATTTGCCTGAAGTCGGTGCGTGCGTGCCTCGCGGTCTGCTTCGTGAGAAATGTCGCAGTCGGCGTCCGATTTACCAGCATCTTCAGGCAGTGAGAATGGGTCGAGGGCTTTCTCTATAGTTTCTCACGGCGCCGACTCATCGAGGGGAAATGGAAACATCAAGCAACAAACTAGATGTGTGAGTAAACAAACAGAGCAGAACATAAACAGAAGACATGTTCCCTAACGTCATGGAAGCAAGCAAAAAAGAGAGTTTTTTCATATTTCTTTTGTATTTGGCGTAACTAATAGAACGTGGAAAAAAAAAAAGATTCCAGACATTATCGTGTCCGTGATGAGCTTTCACCAGCGTCTGCCAGAAAAAAAAGGAAGTGGCGAGACCGTGGCGACACCTAGTGAGATGTGACACCTAGTGTGCTGACTTTTTTGAGACATCCGTTAGGTAGATGGCAGCACAAGCTGGGTCCTAAGACTTTACCTCTGGACCATTCTAGTTTATAATTGCCGAGAAATAGAATGAAAGGCTTAAACTGGTGCATTTTTATTTATTTATAAAAACCCTTTTAGTCTTGGCGGGACTCAGGAGTCCCAACTTGTTTTCAGACTCCCCAGCAAACAAGGCTAAGTTTGACCAACGTTGTATCAACGTTTCGAAAGGTTTATTCAATGTTGATTCAACGTTGTGTGTTTCAGATTGTTTGGTGGGTCATAACTCCTTCACATATCGACATCAACAATCTTCACATTCATCGAATCAAATGAAATCATCTGCATATCCTCGACAGAAAATAGGTTCTACGAACCAACGCGAGATGGCGCTTAACTGCCAGCGATTCAAATTGATGGGCGGGGGCGGGGCTGTTCCAAATATTATAGAGGTGTCTGGTCAACAAAGCTTTAGTGAGGAAGCTGATTCGGGATTCGATTCATTCGGGGATTCGACAGTTCTGGAGGGTGGACAGTGGCATCATTCGACGTTGCCTTCATATCTTATCAACCTTTCCCGCAAAATTTTCCAGCTTGCAATTTTTCTTCTCTTTTTTCCTTTTCCCATCCGACGTAACCTCATTCCATCCGGCCCTCGACTCGGTCCTCAAGGCCCTCGACTCGGTCCTCAAGGCCCTCGACTCGGTCCTCAAGGCCCAGATCCACTCGACTCCATCCTCCCTCGCAACCCTCGTTAGCGGTAAAGCCGAAGATGCAGATCCCATGGAGGAGTCCAATTCGGTCCCCTCTCATCCTCCGCAATCATGAGCCTCGATTTTCTACTTTCCTCGATGTGCATATTGTCTTGTTCGTGTAGAAAATGAGGAGAATATCGGAAATACTCGCCAGGTTTTTTTTTTTTTCGTTGAACACATTTGGGCTCTTGCAATCATCGACAAGTCGGCCCAGCAACGAAGGCTTTCTTGGACCAACGTTGTATCGACGTGCCGAACGTTCGTTTGATTTTGATTCAAAATTATGCGTTTGAAATTGTTTGCTGGGGGTCTGGGAATGCTATATGTGGTAACATGGGTGAAGATGTCGACGCCGATTTTTGCGCATCTAAGTGTTTCCGCGTATCAGATGCGGCACAGTCCATGCATAAATGAGATTCTTCTCGGTTTCGTCCCGACGCCGCACGGTCAGGAACTCGGCCGGGCAAAAAAAAACGGAGCGAAATTATGCCCCCGGGTGAAGCATCATTTTGGGGAAATAGAGAATGAAACGAATCGGAGTAATTTAGCGCCAAAAGTCTAATTGTCTCAGGGAGTTTGGCACAAAAATCATAATTTAGAGCAGCGTTTTGAGATTGCATATTACTTGCTGCCGAACAAAATAGTATTACCCATGGACGCCCGGTTATCAGAAACTTTGGAACAATTGGATGTGGGATAAATGATGTTTTTCGGGAGCTACCATCAATTACATATGTAATTTTTCGTGTACCCTCCACGGTCCCCCTGGACCTACCACATGGACCCCAGGTTAAGAACACCTGCCGAAGAAAAATTCGTGAAAAATTTTCTAAGGCAGGGTCCGTGTGTCACACTTTGGTTTGTCCGACGATAACTAAAAAAATATTGGTCTGATCAATGCGAAAATTGGTAAGCGGGTAGATATGAACAATATACAGGCTGAATTCATTTTGTGGTCAATTTGCACAAAAATTGGCATGTTTATTGCAAATTTTGGATTTGAAATTTGCTAACGGAGGGGAAGCCATGAGTACCTGAGCCCTTCAGGATGTAGATCACAATGCGCATGCGCATACGACCCAGGCTTTCAGCGCGGCGTCGTGTCAGCATCCGGTGCTGTCAGTTCCCTACCAACCTTCGTGGCGGATGGTTTCAATCACGCACAACCCTCCATCCTCCGATCATCATTTCATGGGCATCATGGGTAGATTTTGAAACGTATCTAGAAAACTATGTTTTTGATGGCCGAGGACCGGAAAGAGATGCAATTTTGTTGACTTAGGTGAGAAAATGCGGGTCTCCTTAAATGAAAGGAGGCCCACTACTGGACTTGGCCATCTTGTTCTCATTTCTCTGGTACCCCTTACTGTCCCGTTCGTAAGCCTGAACGCTGGTTCCGAGAGTTTCAGTTCGATTCGACGTTTCAACGTTGATAGGTTGAGCTCGGGGGCGAATGGCCCGAAAATTCCGTGTCGTGATTAAAAAGGAGACTCGACTCATCCATTTCTATGCGTTTATTCAAGAAACCATTTGTGATTCACTCAGGTCCTTCTCCATGCCTGAAAATGAATCCGTTCTCATATCGCCACGATCGCCGTTCGGTGCCCGCGAATGGAAACAGCACAGAAGTGGACATGTTAAGTCATATCACATCAATAGTGGGACCATGTGGGATCCACGTAGAGATAAACGAGAAATCTTGGAACAAGGCCACCAAGAATTGGAACTCTGATGCCAGAGGCAGACTTGGGACTTCCTCTCCCGCCAGAATTATGGTATTCCCGCGGGAACAGAACCCGAGTCGTTCAGGCCGCTAACGTCTATTACCGAGAGAAATTAGGAGAATCGGAGTCGTTCGGTCTACGAGTTTTTTCCACCGTGTGAATGAGAACGAAACGACCAAGTTCTCGGTAGTAGACGTTTTGTAGAAATGGTGAACAGTGAGCTCTTTGAGAATAGAAGCGGTATTAGACTGAAATCCACGACAGCGAGAAGGAATGGGAATACTTTTCCACGAAAGCGGATCGGGAAAATAAAGGAAAGACGGCTCGGGACTGGGACCGGGATTCACCGCAGTGGGAGTTTTGTGCAAGGTGGGAAGGGGAAAGGACTCGGCGGGGGGGAGGGCTGGAGTCTCGTCTTTCCTTTCGACAACAGATACGGTCGAGTGTGGGATTTACATTCTCCCAGCAAACGTCGACCGACATCAGACATTGAGGTTACATCGAATAGAGTTCGGGCCCGAAGTGGAGAGACTCGTATGACGATGAAAACGAAGAAAAGGGCTTCAGGAGCAGGCGCAGTCCTGGACGATGACCTCCTTCCAGGTCCCTTTTCGGATGGTGTTGCCATCGTCCAAGTAGATGATGTCCAGGTCCTTGAGGGTCTTCGGAGCGCAGCACGGTTCCGGGGTGACGGGATGCCTACCGGCCTTCTGGTCCTGTCGACGGACCAAACTCTGAAGGATGGCGTGGTTGCTGGCCGCTCGGTGCTCGTGAGGGCAGTGGCCTTCGCAGCGAAACGCCTCGAACTCCAGGGGGTGAAGGACGAAGTTCATCCTGGGGATGTCCTTGATGGAAACAGTCATCCCGTTCCGGCAGCACTTGGAATCCCGTCCGTCGGCCGGGCAGTCCAAGAGCTCCACCTCGTTCCCTCTCCACCAGTTCGATCGCTCCTCGGAGACGAGAAGAATCTCCAGGGTCGGGCTCGACACCCGACAGCCGTGGCATCGGACGTAGAAGACGATTCTCCCGCGTCCCATCACCAGGTGTTGGGACACGGGGACCGTGACGTCCAATCCCTCCGCGTTGGCCTCGACCTGCTTGGTCTCCAGATGTTCCCCAGTGGAGTTCGTCTGGTCGTAGAGGATCAGATATCCTCGGTTCCATCCGTCCGATTCCACCTTGAGTTTCAGGCTCGCCAGACGAGCCGACCAGATCGACAAATCCATCTTCTCCGTCTTCGCTTTCTCCTCCAGATCGAAAGTCAGCTTGAGGCCATCCTCCTCGGCTCCCGAATTCGTTCTAGCTTCTTCTGGCGAGGGAAAAAAAAAATCGGGAATGTCACGTTCAGTAGAATCACCGCAACTGTGAGACTATTTCCGCGTGTGACTTTCTCCAAATCAGTGGAGCGTTTCATATGATCGATTTATTGGATTCTGCACTGTTAAAATGTTAGTGGTCAGAATACTCCGTGAAACACCTGGAACGCAAAACTTTTGTTGCTCTTCAAGGAACGCCTGGGACCTGTTTCTCAAAGCTTACTAGTGGAGAAAGTTACAAGAACACAAGTATTTACAAGTAAAAAAAAAACAACTTCGTGTTACTCGAAGAATTTGGGTCCCACTTATGATTACAATTTATTCGTATTGTAGGGTGAAATAAATTTCTTAAATGTGAAGTCCGATTCCATACATTTGTGAAATACCTGAGAACTTTAGTTCGTCTACTGAACGGTGGTTAAAGCGGCCACAAATGTCGGGAAATGGTCAAATGTTTTCGAGCGATTCGGACGCATCTGGCGATGATTTGCGCGGCGTTCACCGACGTCGAGTGATTCTGGCAGGAACTGGATTCGGTTGGTAGTATATATATATATATATATATATAGTAATGGACCTAATATTAAAGAAAGATATTGGCTAAATAGGCAGTTACCTGGCTGAGCAGTAAACTGCCCCCAACCAAACTGACAGATTGGAACGATGCCCAGATTGCTCCTGCTACCTTCAAGCCCTGACCTCGAGGCACATTAGGCCAATAACACCCAACCTAACCCCGACCCAACAATTTTCTGTTGCCCTTGGGTAGTTTCAAACAATTTCGGCACCACATAACTTCTCTTACTCTATATATATATTTATTTATTTATTTATTTTTCTTTTATTTACTTCAAGAGCGATTTCGGTCGAAACCGACGGATTACATTCTTCAGAATTTACGACCTGCTCTCGAACGTCCGATCCGCAAAAGAAGTCATAAGAGTAACTCGCGTGAATCATTCCCCATTGGAGAATCGAGGAATCCGTAGCGAAGTCTCGAACGCGATCGTGCGAAATCGCACCTGGGGTTCATCCGAGTGATCGGATTTCTGTTTGCTGTCAGATGCCATCTTGTTTATTTTTTATTTATTTAATACGTGCGTTGCACGGAATCCTCTCGCGATCGTTTTCACTGCATTTCGTGCTTCGTTCAAAAAGACGAGCCGGGAGATCTTAAAACGCAGTCTCGTGAGAGACTCGTGGATTATTATTACGCAGCAAAAAGGGGGGGGGGGGGGGACAACTTTTCACCTCTCCTATTCTTAGCATAAAACTTGCGAGGGAGTCAAAAATTGCATGCACACGAGGTATGAGCCTTTTTCGAGAAAGATTCCCGCTTTTCTGCCCTTCTGGCGCGGCGTGTCCACACTCACCAGATGCCTCCAGGGTCCAGAGACGGGGCTCGTCTATGGGGATCTTCTCGCCGGGGGACGACCAATACTCGTGATACACCTTGGACACTTCCGCCTGAGTCGTGTTTAGCTGTCGGGGGAGAAACGCACGATTCAATGGGCGAAATTGCATTTTTTTTTCCCGTCGGAGGGGAATGGACGCGTCTGTTCTGAATGGACTTGGCTATTGAGAAATTCGCGATTAATCCTGCTCGCTTGACGTAGATCCGATGATCGCCGCGTGAATCGAGTCGGACTTAATCCATCGAGGATTAATCCTTGATGTATTGTTTTCGAAAACAATTTTTTCCTCGAAAGAAAACAATCCATGTTTTCTGAGGAAGCCATCGGGTAAATTTATGCGTGACTAGCGATTATCATTATCCCGTGCCGGATAATCTCCTCTGAACCCCACGAATGGGCGTCGGACATCTTCCGGAGTTCACGCGAGAAAATGAGTGATACTTTTTAAATTATTTTAAATGATTGTTATTAATGTTCGTTCCCAGGCTTTTTTGAGCCTGAATGACGAAAGCAGCCGACGACAAGGAGAGAAATTAAATATATTTAGCAGTACTGGGGGTGGGGGTGGGGGGGGGAGGGGAGGAGAGACAGATAAGGAAGCGACACAGATTCACGTCAACTCAACAGGATTCATATACATATTCGTATTCGAAAAATAACTTTCTCAATATAAAATATATGCAGTTATCGAATATATATTCTTCTTCAAGGGGTTCGTATGACTTTTTAATCCAGGCCCTGAATACTTCAATCGTGTGCTTGTGATTTTCCAGTTCAGGGTTCCATGATGCCTGATTTGACACGAGCGATTAAATCTGACGCGCTTTACAATATTACAAAAAATGTGAGAAAGTAATACCTTCGAGACATCAGGGACGGACGCGAGGCCGAATTTCTCCAGGAATCCCTCTTCGAGATCTTCCGAGGACGGCAGCTGGTCGTCGAAGGCGAGGGCGTCTTCGTCGGGCGCGGATCCGTTGTCGCTGAGCTGCCACAAGGCCTGTATGACGAGACTCGATGCCAAGATGCATAGTGCCAGGCAGAGTTTCATGCTTCTGTTGGTTTCGCAGAACCGAGTACCACGATCGGTCATGAAGAACTGAAAGGGCCCGGGTCGACTCTTCGACCCATGAGGTCTGAGACGGCACAGACCGCGTACGCCGGAAGCCGGTGCTCATGCGCCATGCGAAGCGTACCTTTCCGGCGCGACATCCGGCGCGATACCCAGCGCGACGTCCGGCGCGATACCCGGCGCGACATCCGGCGCGATATCTGTCCGGAGAAACGGCGGGTTACTCGGCTCGGACCGAGGAACGCAAGGCGCTTCTCCGATTCCGATGAACGGGATCGGGAAAATCTCCCGTGCAATTTGGGTCGGGTTCGTCGCTGCCTCGGCTCATGTCATGGAAAGGGTTCAACGAATGGCACGATACGAAGAACTTGCAAGAATCTTGGTGTAGCAAATCGGGATGTTCAGTTTGTGCCAAAAGAAGCGATTGTTACATCGCTCATTGTGATTCATTTTCGTTAAATTCTCATATCCGTGCTCGGAGTCATCGTACCTTGCTTTCTCCCCAATTTTAAATAAATTTAACAATTATATCATAGGAAGTAAGAATGCGCTGTTAATGGTATGAATTAAAGCCAAGAGAGCGGAGTGTAAAGAGTAAGGGCGGGCAGATGCGATCTCCATTTATAATTTTTTTTTAAGTGCAGCCGTAGAGAAAGAGCAAGATTTGCTCAGAACTGGTTCATGATTATTAGCTATTATTAATTTACTTTTGTCTGAAGTCGTTGAGGGTGACTCATCTCGAGACTGAAGAGGACACTCCTCTCGGTTGAGAGTTCATCCCAGACTGAATATATTTATCCCTGGAGAAAAGGAAGGATTTATTGGCATGGTGACATCCGGCAGAATCTTTTTGACTCATTTTGACGCAGCCGGCAGACCTCGCGTTGCCAGGTGCTCCTCGAGCCTGACCTTGACAGTAATTGGGGGGGGGGGGGCTTAAAAGGGCTTAAATAAGTACTGAATGCTATGTAGGCGAAAACTACGACCCATCTGGTAGATATCGAGCGAATGGGTCGCAAGAGAACGGGGACAAGTGGGAATTTACTAACGTACCGTGTTAGGAACTGTTGGAAATGGAATGGAATGTCCAGATCGTTCAAAAAGCCGCCGTGGAAACCAGAAATCAGAAAGTAGGAAGGCTTTATCACTTTTTTTTTATAGAAGAGCACAACATAAGGCTTACGATAAATTTTCCCTCTCTGCATAACCGCCCGTGAATTTTGCGCACTCGTCTCGTCAGTGATCGAGCTTCCGAAGAGCGTCACCATCAGCGTATTTGGATATCTCAGAAAGTGGAAAACGGAGAATCCCACTTCACTCTGACCCTGAAACCTGCGACCACGGGGAAATTCCTCGAGTTTCGGAAACGAAAGGAGACATCGGTGGCCAAGCCAGGACCGTAAGGAGGACATGGCACTAAATCCCACCCCAGTTTGGTGATGGTTGCACTCGTGATGTTAGCCGTGCGTGGGCGAGCAACACGGACACCGTAGAAGCACTCCGTAATGCAACGGGTTACGACTTTTCTTTTGCGCGTTGGGGAGTTCCTAAAAATGTCGGCATGTATTTGCCCCGTCACGGTGAAACCCTAAGGCAGCAGATGCACCAGAATGGCAGCTTCCACGTTCCAAAACGTGACGTGGAAACTCTGTGCATCGAGTCAAATTACGAGAGGGGGAAAATTGCATGACCTTGCGTCATCGAGAAAATTTCACAATATTTCCTCATCAAACTGCACTTTTCCTCACTTCTAATAGCGTATGCATTTCGGAATTTCATGCTATCCACCGTCCTTGCATGATCAAAATAAGAAGAATCAATTTGAGAAAATCCCGACTATAGTATTATTTTCCACAAATGAAGCCATCGGCTAGGCACGTAAAACGAAAAACACTATCATCTTCCAGGAATTTATTGGCAGTTAAAAAAGAGCTAACAAAACGTTTCTTTTTCCAGGTAAGGGGGCCGTAAAAATGATGCAAAATAGCAAAAAATTTCTCTCACGTGAAGAGGCTGAATAAATCATACACAATTAAATAATAATTTCTTGCAGCTGAAGGGGTCGATGTACAATTTCTTTTTTTAATTCCTCAATGATACAAAATAATTCCTCACAGGTGAGGGGGCAGAGATATATAAAAGTACAAAATAATATCTCGCAGGTGAGGAAATTGGCTGGATAAACGGATTAGGTGCAAGGATACTCGCTCGCTTGATCTGTTTTTCGTGATGAGACCGAAACAGATGGATCCTTCTCACCCGGTACTTGGATTGAAGGCAGGAGATTGGAGTTTCGGAAGTGGTTTTTATACTGATAATGAGGCTACGAGACTGAATGGAAATGGAAACGTAAGGGTGGCCTCGTCAAGCAACACTGACAGTTGAAAAACGCCTCAAGGTAGCTGCGAACCCAAAAGGAACAAGGAAAGAGATGCTAAAGGATGAGGGAAGGCTTTGTTGGGCACCACATCCTCTTCGAAGGGAGGGTGTCGCTGGGATGGTCAAGAGATGTTCTCTTCTCGTCCTTGGTGAGGAGATATCGTAAACTTCGTAGGACTTGTGACAACCACCATCCTCTGGCTGGGCGAGGTCCCGCTGATGCCAGTGGAACAAGTGGATTCACAGGAGTTGCGTCAGTGAACGGTGATGGGTCCACAAAAGGAATGTGATATGCTGGGAAAGAGACAACATAGTACTGGATCCATCAGAGCCTGTGAAATTAGTGAATGGTCCGCGAATGGGTTGAATCGTAGAGTTGAGTCTTTGCTAGGCCGAAGTCACTATTTGACACGTGTGTGTGATTCCGGTCGGGGGAAGCAGCACCCCAGCAGAGGCCTTGCGGTCTGCCCACCGCATCAAGCGCCTGAACGGATCTATAGTGGCGAGATGGAGCAAGCGTTCAAAAATCCGTCTGGTTGGTAGTAGAACGTTTTCTTTCGCGTTTGCGCAGGTCTCCAAGCAACGAATCGATAAGTTACCTTGGACTTCGTCCTTAATTCAAAATTTCCATTTTGAGGTGAGGAAATATGGAAAAAGGCAAATGCGATTGGGAATCGAAAGCTGAAATTTGGCATAAGGGTTCATTTCTGGTACTAAAACTGGGGAGAGCTTTCTCTCTAGGAGGAGATTTCTCTCTGAGGGAATGGGTGGCAAGAGGAAAGGGGACCAAATGGAATTTACTAACCATGCACTTCAATATAATGACACGAAGGAAGGGAGAACCCATGACTAGCGACGGCAGAAAAATGGCCAGATGCAAAATGTCCTCCAGTGGAGATCATGTCCATTGCACATTAAAACCAATTTCTCCATTTGAGAACATAAGTAAATAAATAAAGCCTGAGCCATAATTGTTAGTAATTCTTCATCCAAGAATCGATTTTGAGAAGTACCTCCTTGCCGGAAATCGTACGGAAAATAGAAACGTACCATTTAGGAGCAGTTGAAGATGGAATCGAATGTCCAGATCGTTCAAAAAGCCGTTGTGGAAACCCACAGACCTACATGGTAATATGGGTGCATCACACGGGTGCCTACATGGGTGCCTCGCACACACTCAAGCAGCATGCTTGAGTGTGTGCGAGGGGGGGGGGAACAACCAGCCGACTCCTGTTAGTATGCTATGTGCACGGTATGACAAAAGTTTCTCAAAGTTTCAAATTACTTTCGCTTGTATTGAGTTGTCTCAATCTTAGCAGGAATGAGAACGCGGATAGAGGGAGGAAGGAAATCATCTTCATTACAGGTTGATCTTGGTGTTGCCGAGATTTCATCTTCCTAACAGACCTTTGCCAGTTGATTTTGGCCTACGTATCACTCTAATACCATTTTTGTTAGCGGTAGGAACTTTTGAACTTTCAGGTGCGGCTCGATTCTTTCGCCCAGCGATGGGACATTATCAATAGGCTTCATCACTCCCCTCGCTATCACCTATCTCCATTACGTTGCAGGCTTTCCGGAGCGACGTGATTTTGGTGGCTGGAATACATTTCCACTGAGGCAGTTACAAGTGGAATCACCTGCAGGTGAGAAATCCCGGATTTAAACCTAGATTTTTCGTGGTTATTCCGAATCGTGACCGCAAAATTTTTTCCTCGCAAAGGTTGAAAAAAAAAATCGTGAGTCTGCTACATGCTCTCACCGCGGGGGCATCGAATCCAATTCCGACCAGACCTCTGGGATTCCCCAGTCGAAGCAGACCAGAGACCTCGTCGAAAAAGGCTCTCGGATCCCGGCTACAACACCGCGAGAAAGGCCGCTGGGAGAGACGGGACGCTGCCCCTTCGAGTTTTCCCCATAGTGGACTCAGCTGTGGACTCAGCTGCGGACTCAGCCAAGTACCGGACCCGAAACGGCGAGCAGCAGAGGAAGACGGAGGAAATCTGGGTCCTGCCCGAGGAAACGTTCGAATGCGAAAATTCCTTGTGTCTGCCCCAACTCGACCTCACCGACTCATCCCGTTCAGACTGCCCAGGAAACCCTGCATTCGACGAGGACGACCCACTCGATTCAGTGCAAATGTCTCAAATGTCTGGTGAAACTGGGACAAACTGCTCCGATTCGAGAAGCGACTCCATCCCACTCACGAAATGCAATTTCACCTTGCGTCGGTCTCTTTCCAGGCCCCCGCCCCCTCAGCATCACATAGATCAAACCCACTCTACTGGTGACACGATGAAACGCATCGAACCCCCTCCCTCGGACCCGAGTCCAGTCGGTGCAATCAGGACTTCAAGCGAACGGAGCCGTCGAAGACGATCGATTCTCGGCTCGGAACTGGAATCACTTTTCGCGAATGCCTTCATTCATGCGCACGATCTCGGTTACGACGTCGAAAAGGCGAGAGAATCCCCTTTTGACGGTGGGAGCACGACGTGGGAAGGACTCACAGAAACGTTAGCTCTCGACGAAGTCTCTGCCGCGAAAGCAACACTGACCGACTGTTGGATTACGTCTATAGACCCTCCAACCCTGAAACTACATCCATCCGATGAACTCCTGGCCTATACATCTTCATCTCCGCCCAAAAGTCACGCCGCCAAGCATCCCGAGCCCAAAATCCTGGCCATGCAAAACCCGAAGGAACGACGACGCTCAGACTCTCCCGAACCGCACCGGCAGCCGAACGAGACGACAAAATCGAAGCAGCCGCTCACCCGCGTCGAGACTACCGCCCGAGAATCGTCCCTCCTCGCTCCCTGGGAGTCGAGCTGGATCGAAGACGCCCCGCCGTCGTCTGCTAGCATCCCCTCCGTCGCCGAGTCGCGAGACATCGCTGCCTCTTGCCCGGGCTATTTCCCTCCTAAAGGAGACCGAGTCAGACTCCCTTCTTATCAATGGAAGCCCAAAAGACGAAAGTCCAAGAGGTCAACACAGCACCGGCATCACCAAGTAATGGAGTCTACACAGCCACAAATGCTGCAAAGTGCCGGTTCTACGAGCGCCCACAATCGCATCAAGAGCAAAGTAAGCTGCTTTTGCCTTGACCTTCTCTCAGTTTAGCAGAAGGAGTTCTATATGAATTTCTAGGTCGGGCTGACGCCATAGCCAAGTTTTCGGAAACGCAAGTGGCCTCGAGAAATTTTAAAATCATGTCCAGATCTTCGACTTGTTTCCTAGCGAAGCTCGATGGCGAATAGCTGAATATGTTAATCGAACGCGTCAAGAGAACGAAAGGTGACAGACCTGTGATGGCAGAAGCTTAACTAGTGGCATTGCTGCATATGACCAAGCATGTTTAACTGATTACTTGCTAAGTTAATGAAGACCGCAGCACTTCGCCAGTTGAGAGAATTTTTTGTGCTTAGCCGAAGGAGTTCATATCCACATTTGACTTGGGGCCCAAGCGTTTTAAAAATTTAAACTTCGTTTGTTGAACTGCTCGTGAATAAGGTAGAGATGATGGTGATGGAATCAAACGTATTTTCAATAAAGCATTTGAGCCTGAAAAACTTGTAAAGTTGACAGTAATATCATCTCCACCATTTCATGTAGAATCCTCTGGAATATTTCCTGTTTTAATTAGCTTCGCATCACACGATGCTTTTCCCCATTATTTCTCCGCTGTGATTCTTGGGCACGCAATAGAGTACGAGTGCACCTGACACGAATTACGAAGGAGGACCACTCCTCATCACTCAATACATTACAAGACCTCTAATCCCTTTATTTAACAAAAAGCATGCCTCCTTGGGCCGTTCCCTTCACCCTCTCCACGTTTCTGACCGAACGACCAGCGTCCCCCCCTGGCCCCGCTCGCCCCGACCCCAGACCCGGAGCCCGGAGAGAGCCCGCCGTCCCCACAGCCATCCAGCGGGCACTCGGGGCGCCGCAGACGCGGTGGGACATCCGATGGCAGGAGCGCGGACCACCGTGTCCGCAGGATGCGGGAGACCGCGTGGACCTTTCCTCAGGAAATCGGGTTGGAAGACGAAGACGAAAATCATATGTCGCAGCATGACGAGGTATGGTTTCTTATTTTTACATTTTTGTCAGTTTTTAAGGAATCGTTCGAAGATTTTGAGAGTCCTCCACTCCCATTTTCTTCGACCTATAGGCCAAGTCCGAAATTTTCCGTCCCCTGTAAGGTTAATCGAAATTTGAATTCTTTTCAAATTTCAAAACCACGAACGGAAATATTAATTTTTTCTTCTGCTTATGGAAAATCATCGCTTATGAGAATTCCGAAGGATTCAATACCCAACGGAATGAATACCGTCATACAGGAGCTTCGCTTTCTTTGTCATTTCAAGGATTCACCCCTCCCACATGCCTTTGGCGAGACCACTTTCATCGCCGCTGGCACTGTCTGCCCTTCACTGGTTTTTGTCTTTATCATGCCATGGTTTACCCTCCTCCTTTCATTCCGACTTGTGACCGGACGAGTGAACTTATCTCCTTCTCACTCTTGGTGTCAATCGTAGTCGTATTCCTTCCGCGGCGGTGCTAGGTCTATACGCTTTAGTCTTAGGCCAGCGCGTTGTGCAGTCCGGAGAACTTCCCTCCCCTCTCTCTCCCTCCCCCTCCCCCCGAATTCATGCGGTACTGACCGGTACCATAGAGTGCCTGTTTTTCACGAAAGTTTTTTTTTTTTGGAGTAATGCTATGTACTGCCAACCAGCATTCTCTTGCCCCGAGCAGGAGGATTCCTCCGCGACTCGAGACCTCGTGGAACGCAGGGACTCGAGCGAATCGCGATCGCCGAGCAGTACCAACACCGCCGTCGGCTGCAAGCGTCGCCGGCACAGCGGCGGAAGAATCGTCGAGACCCTGGTTCGCGAGAGGCGATCGATTCTCCGAGAGCTGAAGAAGATCGTGCGGGAGCGGGACTCCCTCGGGGCGCGGGTGGATGCCGGGTGGAAGGCGCGGCGCGGAGAGGAGCGGATCCGCTGGAAGACGCGGCTGACCGTCGCGAAGCAGGAGTTGGAGCGGCTGCTGGGGAACTCGGAGCAGGCGTGTGTCGAGATGCTCCGGATCCAGCACGACCTGGATCAACAAGTCGTGGAACTGGCTGCGCTGGAAATGGGCCGTCGGGACCTTCAAAACGAACTGGGATGCCGCAAGCACGAGATTGAAACTCTGCAGGAAGAGCGATGTGCGTTTGCGACCGAAGCGAGCACTTTGCGGAAAGAGAACGCCGGACTCCAATCTCTGCAGGAGAGCAAGGAGCGGTTAGCCGAAGAAAACGAGCGGCTCCAATCCAAGGTCTCGGAACTCGAAGACGCCAACGAGCGGTTGTCCGGGCATCGCGAAGAAGCTTCCCGACTCCGAGCGACAGCGGAGGATCTCCAGCAACACGTCGAGAACGCAACTGCCGCGATGCTGAACCTGGAACGAACCAAAACCGAACTATCGACAGCGATCGCACGATCTCGTGCCGAATGCGCAGACCTGAAACGCCAGTTAAAAGCCCTAGAGAACGAAGAAAAGGAACTGAAAAATTCCCTCTCGATTGCGAAGAAGCTCGAAACTCACCTCCTGGAAGAGTCGACCGCGTGGAGATCCAAGTTCGAACTGGCTCAGAGCACATGGAAACAAGAGAAATCTACTTTGGAGATGAATTACGAGAAGGAGATCCGGAACCTGCAGGAAGAGCTCCTCGGATCCAACGCGGAGCTGGATCGGTGCAAAAGCGCCGTCGCTGCCAGGGAGTTCGCCTTGAAGGAAAATGCGGAGGAGATCCGGCGTCTCGATGAACAGGTGAGGAAAAGCACCAGAAGCTTGTCGTTGCTCCTACACTGAAATTATACTAGCACGAAGAGATACTTTTTTTTGTGATTCTTGTTGGATTGCCATCCTAAGAGTAAAATAGGGGGAAATTTTCCATCTCTGGCAGAGATACTTTGTCACTTTACTTTTACTTACTTGTTGCTTTAGCAACCTGAAAATGAAAAGATGTAGATGAGAGGGGAAAACAATTAGAATTTGACAAAATAGACAATTGTGCTTAGAAGTTCCCATTGGCCTGGGAACCTTCGCCATCCCAGCGAACGAGGTGACAGCTTCAGAGAGTTTGAAGTCGAGGCGAAGGTACTCAGATGCTAAAGCGCTCACCTTGTGGTTCATATTTACAAAAGTGAATCGATTAGATTCCAGACAGGTTCCAGTTTCTCCCAAGCTATATAAGAACGTAAATATCCTGCAATAAATTTCTCTCACATCGAGCTAACCATTCAGGTGCAGGAGTGCACTTGGACTCTGCAACAATCGCGCCAAGAGGCCTCGCAAGCCCAAACGACCCTGGAGCGTCGAACCGCAGACCTGGAGTCGCAGCTCCTCACTTCCACCTCCCTCCACCAGACCCAGACCCGCCAGATGAAGACGGCCGTGGACCGACTGAGGGCGGAGGCGGGGGATCTGCACGGGGCCAATCGGCGGCTCCGGGTGGAGCTGGGGGCGGCGGTGACGGACCTCTTGGCGTGCAAGGACATCCTCGGTGACAAGATGACCCGGATCGAGGTATGACTTTCACCCAACAGTTAATCTCAGTTGGATTTCATACGTGTTTACGGCAAGATCAAGATTCCCCCCCCCGATTAATTCATTTCTCAATCTGAAAAGCTTTAAGTTCGGCTGGCAGTATACGAACCCAGTTCAGTCGAGTCGTTTGTCGACTGACTTCCAACTCTAGTCAAAAATTCTCTTAAGACCATTTTGTTCGGCTCATGCTTCATCGGAAGAGTCTTGAAACGGACCATGAACGCTCCCGGAAACAGGCGGAGTTGGAGAAAGCAGCGGAGAGGAATGAGCGTCGCAGGCAGGAGAAGACTACGCTCGAAGAAGCGCTGAACCAGGCGCGCCTAGAGCTCAAGGACAAAAGCACGGAGCTGCAGTGCGCCTGCGACGAGCTCGAGAGATATCGCGCCATGCAGGTCGGTCGATTAGAAAAGTGTTCTTGGTGTTCCTTTCTTATGTCAATCAATTCTGTTATCGTCCTTTATGTCCTTTATGATGAACTTGCAAGATTTTAAAATCTTTCCAAATGTCATCAGATCCACGTAAAGTCATGGGCAATTTTCCTTTCTAGTATTGCTTTGTGCATTGTAACGTTGAACGACTTGCCGTAAAGCCTGCCTCGCAAATTTTCGAATGCATGGAACTGTCAATCATATCCTGATCCTTCTCTCTCTCGCCGAATATTGGATGTTAATCGGTAAGTTGAGTCTCTCATTACGAGTACCTCCATCGAATCGAACTGCGAACAAGTTTTCCAAAATATTTTGCTGGAAATATCAGCCTTTCCTTGGCATTCTCATTCTAATTCTGCGTATTTTGTGAAGCGTTGAAGGGGATGGGAATATTTCCATAGCGGCAGATGTATTTGGGTTTCCCCGTCTTACTCCAGGACGGAGCGCAGGAGACGATTCGAATGCAGGCGAAGCAGATCCAGGACCTCGTGATGACGCTGAAACACTCCAAGAACGTGGGAGAAAGGTAGGATTCTGCAATAGAATTCTGCAATTAGAGAACCTCGAACCAGCAAGATTGTCGGACAGGACCCGAATATAAATTTCGCGAAACTGGAAATTTCAAGGCTCCACTCTGAAATCTCATTTTAGTCATCGGGGGGGGGGGGGGTAGGTGCAAAATTTGATTTCCTTCCGCATGGAAACTTCCACCCATAAAAGGAATGGAAGCATGTGGAGAGGAAATGGGAGTTTGAGCCCACGGACCACGCGTCCAGGACCCGTCAGCTCAAAAGTCCAGTAGGTCCAACGTTCCTGGTGTCGTAGTCGCCCAGACGGACACGCTGCCTACAATTTTCCTGCCGATAAGGAACTTTAGGTCTGATCTATGGAAACGTCGTCTTTTCAGCGTTTCGGGCGTTTATCCGCAGGGAAGATGCCCTTTGAAAGTTCCATCTTGATGGAGCTTTGAAAGAGCATCGTTCCGACCCAGCGGCTCGGATTTCTCAGCATCTGGATCTCAAACAAGTTTTTCTTTACCATTTGTCTATGATGCGAATCTGCCTTCGCACTGAAAAGGGAAGATGCCTTCCACTCTTCCGGATTGCTGTTTCAATTGCAGAGAAATTCAGAGGGAAAATGGTTCATGAGGAAGAGCTGCCAGAGTTTTTGAGAGCAATATAATTGCGGAAAATGAAGAATGAGGTATATCTTTCCTGGAATAAATAATATGACCTTGCTAACCAAGAGAATCTGGGCTAGAAGAAGGAAGATGAGTCGTCCAGCACTGAGAATATGATTTTAAAAATTATTTTTAAATAATACTTTTATATTTTAAACCAACCAGGTGTTCAGGAGGACGAAGCGAGCCCGCTCCGTGAAACTCCCCAGAAGTGAGAATTCGAGAACGGTAATTCGAGGGATCCGACCCAGAAGTCGGAGACGCCGCCTTCAATGCGCCTGGAGAGGAGCCATCCAGCGAGGGGACACATGCCTCAGCCAGCACGACTCGTACGGGTCCCTCCTGAGCCATGGATCCCTTCTCGTTCCCTTCGTGTGCTCTCGTCATTCCTGGCCACGTGCGAACAATACACGGAACGTTTTAGAGCTGCAGGGTGTTTTTGTGTACGAGACACTTTTCGTTGGTGAGTGAAACCATCTTCCTATTTTACTCTTCTGAAGTTCTTAATTTTTTTTCCTTCTCTTTTGCGGAAGAAAACGATGGAAAAGGGAATCGTATGAGGATGCTTTAATTTTATCCGACAAAATGAGAACGTGGGCAAAAGCGAAGCACGAATTTGGTTTGTGCTAAAATAAATATAGAAGATAATCCTGGAGATTTTCCAGTGATGTTCTAATGGCGCGAAGAACCTTATCGACCACTGAAAGGACCGTATTAAATGCGCATGTTTTCTCATATTGTTGGAAGATCCACACGTAATGGCGTTCATTTCTGAATCTCCAATTCCAGAGGCACACCGCACAGGTCTCGTCGTTGTCGCCTTCTTCCCCATTCCATGAAGCGGCTGAAAAACTGAACCGTGACTTTCTGTGGCCAAATTTGCTGCGTATTATTCGTAGGTGTGATCCTACTGCGTTTTTTTTTTTATCAAGTTCCCGACGTGCTATTTCGGAAATGAGGCGATCTCTTCGTTGAGGAGAAAAAACCGGTTGCGGATTTCATTCGAGGCAGCAGTGGAATAATTAAACGGAAGAATAACTAAAGGCAAGAATGTTATTGATACAATGAATGATTTGAAGAAAGAAAACATGGAAGCGCGTGAAGTGAAAAAATATTGAGCAATGCTAGGCTGAGCTATATTCAAGATGATTCCCAGACGAACTTTGACAAATTCAGATAAATTTTTTGGTCGCCTATCATTCCTAATTATTCCATTTTTGCTTTTATGCGAGTGAATGCGAATGCATCGTGACGTGGATTAACGCGGATTAATCAGGTCGCCAATCTCCTTACCCTAAATTGGCGCAAGCGTGAAAATGAAAGATCTGAAAGTTTTCGATAACTTCTGCCAATTTTCCACGAGATTAAGATAGTTCATCGATAAAAGAATCCAATGACGTCGTTGTGTTCGACCTCTACCATTAGAATAAAAGTTTCCAAAATCTCTTTGTAAAAAAAAATTCACTCGGGAATTTTTTGCCATTTATTTGCCGTTATGGAGGAAACATCTCCGCTGGGAGATGGACCCTCTTTGCTTCCCATAGGAAGACTTCTTGGACTTCTAAGAGTCCCATGCGGACTCTTAGAAGCACCCACCAGAGTGTTGACAGCATGGACGTCTTTCAGACGCCCCTCGCTAAATGTGAAATAACGGTTACGTGGCTGTTGATGAATACGGCGACACGAGATGTAATTTAAACTTAAATCACGGACTCGAGGGCTCTATATCGAGCCATTATAAAATCGGAAGCGATTCCAGACGCAGGACCCTCGTTGGACTAGTCAGATTCGGCGATGGACTTCCATCGCATTGGTGACGCATTTTTGCAGCCGGGATGAACCGGCTGCAAAACACACGTTTAGTGTGCAAGTACACGTTTCCCCAATTCAGCAGCTAAGGTCAGACTTCGAGAGCAGATCCATCGGTCGAAATCGGTCAAATACGTTCTGTTTGGATAAGAAGTGAAGCGACATTTCCCTGACTCGGAAAGAGTCCGACGCTAAATGTGTCGCATGAGACAGTGAGACCACAGAGTTTAGAGTGTGACTAGAGACTCCACTCCGCTCGAATCCCATTCATTGACAGGGTCGCAATATAGATGTCGCTGTCGATCCACCATCGATCGATCGATCCACCTACCGGGCGCACGCCAACTACTCCTTCATGGCCGGGCAGCGGACTCGACGAGACACACGTGTTACGTTGAGGAATCCCTTGGGGTCGAATCCCCGAATGAGTCGATTTCCGTCTCCACTGCCACGAAGCACGCCCACTGAGCTAAGAAATAGAACTGGAGATGGCGCACAATACAATGGATTTGGGGCAATTGGAAGCCATCTTAGTTGGGTCTGTGGTGGCTCTTCTCCATTCACTACAATGGGATTTTCATAATTTCCCATCTAGTTTTCTTGCTGTTGTGATCATGATGGCAGGCAGTCATGGTACTGGAGGCCTAATAATTCTGGGGGAGTGTCATAGGACTGATAACGTCATGTCGGAGCTCTTCTTTCATGTGGGCGAGTTTCCTATTTCTCGAGTGGGCCTCCAAGTTCCAGGCCTGCCTTTGCTGAGATTGCTGGGCCTACTAAGGCGATAACGTTAGGCCGCCCATGCATCATCACAGTCGACATATTTTACAGCAAGTCTAAGGCATAAAATCAAACGAACTTCGAGTGAACGTTCAAAGGTAAACATAGGCTAAAGGAAACGAAGGGCGACCACGAGGTGCATGGTAGAGGTATTGGCGGGTATTGGCAGAGCATGCTTCCGTATTCAGAAGGGCTGCTCCAGTGTTCCCGCGGTACCTGCTCCATTACTCGGCCAATGCTCACCGCAGGCCCGCTAGACCCAACCAATATGGCTTCAAAATGCACCCGTTTTCCCTATGCTACTCCTATGGCTGCGCCATCTCCAGTTCTTCTTAGCTCAGTGAGCACGCCTCATGGATGTGTGGATGACAAGCCACCAGATGTCTCTGTAATATTTCGACCCTACTTTTCGTAGTGTCACATTCTCTATATATGAGACTGATCTCGGGTGTCTTTCTTTCCTCCACCCCCTCCCCGTCCCTTCCGCTTTTCGGTGTGTAAATAGTTGTGTTATTTCATTCTGCGTTTGACAGTCTCTCTTTCCTCGTGAGCGAGTCCGTCTCGTTTCCTTTCAACCCATGATTGCGGTTGGGATGCCCAGGGTTCAGCTATATCACGCGCTCCGGTAAGACTCACGATCAACTTTCCCCCGTACTATGAAGGTATTTTGGTTAGAGTTTATCTATAAGCCTAGCTTGTGGCGTCGTGTAACCAAGTGTTGGCTCGATGAAGGTGTCTTGCTTGGCTTTGGCCCGTCTGCGAACACCGTGGAGGAATCGAGCTCTCTGTAATTTCAGTAGACCCGTGGCGTTAAAGGATGTAGGCTGGTGCACTGATCAACGCCAAAGCATCCTCGTCCAAGGTCGATGTCCACCCAAATCTGCTTTCAGGGGGCCAAGCTTTCAGTGGACGAAGTAGACAAGTCTCTCGGAGCGACATCGAGCCGTAAGGTCCCGATAACGCATATCTGTTGAATTTCCGTTTGGATGGCGCTTGTAGCACATAGGAATCTTACAACAGGCAATTCAAATTTGCGCCATTTTGGAACTAAATACAGCGCATATGCATACGTGGGGTGAATCAAAAAGTTATTAGCCTGAGCCTTCTAATACACCTTTTTACTTACATCATGAGAAGACAGATCTCTTTGATGGTGACTGGCAACATTTAATCATATTTGTCAATTATATCGATATTGACCCCCTCCAGGCCCAGACTGCGCCTACAGATCCTGTCCTTGTACACGAGGAACAGGGAAGGGGAGAGAGCGCATCCTGGGTGGAGCTCAAGGGGTACCGAAAGGCCTACGCTCCTCTCCTACTCCTGGTGACATTCGGTAGCTGACGCTGAATTCCATACTCTATTATTCTCCCACCCTCAAAAGCACATCCCCGTACACCTTTTTGATGTTCACAAGCTCAAATAAAACCATTTGGCATGCTCGAAAATGCCTCTCAAGAATCTGGTGGAGTGGTTATCCGGTCTGGAGGTGGTATCCTTAACGAAAACCGCCGTATTAAGGTGACCAAACACAACAGGAAATTGAAGTATTTGTATGCACCAATATCGCCTATTGAGTAGATATCCGAGTATCTTTTTTTTTTTACCTCTCTTCATCGGGAGTCGATTCCCCGAATGTTTTTTTTTTCTCTTGGCATTTACGCAACTTGTAAGGGAAACAGTTAGTGGAAAAATAGTTTCAGATAGAAAAGAATTTTATTTCCAGAACTGTTTTTCGTTCAAGAGTTGATTGCATGACCAGCACTTGGACACCGTTGTAGGCACAGATGAGGCGGCATTGGCACAGATGAGCGGCACTTGCACTCGTTTCCTCAATGTTTTCCCTGTTACACAAATCCTTTTTGGGGCATATTTAAAAGAAAAGTAGTGCATTTTCAAACCCCCGGGGAGCCGTCTCTCGTGCCCTTCCAGGAAGCGAGCTAGTTATACTTATGGTGTGAAGGCATAGCCATGGAAAGCGGAACTTGGACTGTTTTCATCTTGAGGACTGTAGAAGTCCCAACATTGTCATTGAAGCCAAGCTCTAGTAAGGAAAAACGAATTGCCACGATTTTCGTCGTTGCATGCGCTGTAAAAGACGTCTCTTGGATTCCTGGAGAACTTACGAAGAATTTCCTCTAGCAGTAGATAGGGGTTGAGTAGTTTTTAAGGTAATTCTGGCTGACGATCATTCATAGTTTCCCCCGGCCTGAGGTCCTGGTCGACGTTCATTCCCCCCACCCCATGGACTTATCATTCCTGTGAAAGAAAGAAAAATAAAAGCTTGAGTTTAGGGGTCATGCACCTTAGGCATTAGTGGTTCCTCTCATGCCTGATCCCTGCTGAGCAAAGCCCGTGGACTTCAAATGTCTTCACTTCTCTTCCAGTCCTCCAGGTGAAGGCTGCCTTGAAGACGTTCCCCCTGAAAGAAATACGAACTACCTCATCTGAAATGGCGCTTCAATTTATATGCTGAATACCTGGGTCTCGACGAGGACCAGCAGGGAGGCAAGGAAACTTTGGAAAGGAAACATCGTCATGAAGTTGGCAAAAGCCAACTTCATGACGATTGAGACGATTAGAAAATTCTCTCTGGAATGGTGATGGAGCGGCTCGTCATAATCTACCCAGGTGAGGTTTTCACTCGTCTGCATGGATCTGGCAAATTTCGAATTAGCAGGTCCGGCTTGAAGGATGCATGGGAAAGTAATTAAGCGTCGTTTTTTGCTTGCCTCAATCACACACCATTGCATTTTTTCCCACCTCCCTCTTTCCGGAGTCGAAGCACAAATCTGGTCCTTCCACGCGGCCATTCAATAAGTTCTTGCTCCTCAGTAAAATGTCAACTATTATTCGCACTTTTTAAAGGTATTTATTTCTCGATTCAACGTTTCATCCGTCTAAACCAGTTTTCAAAAGTATATTTCCAGCTTTCATTGCTCCCTCCAACTCTTTATGATTCCTGATATTTTCTTATCCGGAAGTCCGCCTTTAAATTTGAGGGAAAATATGAAATTGCCTTAGAAAAGGGGAATGAATCAGGATAAGAACATTTGTTCGCATAAATTCCGGGTTAGGATGGCAGTGTCACGATGGAGCTTGTCCCGCAGTGACCTGTATTTGTCCAACCTGTTTGGAGTTGCCTCCCTACTGTGCTCCAAGCTTATCAGTCACTGACAGTACTGCAGCCGAAGCTAAACTCGAGTGCAAAAAAAAAGGAAAACATTGTCTTCCCTAGACTTCTTTGGTGCTTCACTCGTGGAATGTATATCGAAGAGCCATTTTTGGCTTTATATCAAAGACTTAATATTGTTTCATCCATGTACCAGTACCTGTGAAAAGATCATAGATGTGTCCAGATCTTTATTCATCCAACTGCATGAGCATGAACTCAAAATTTTCAATTCGAGTCTGCTTTCGAAGCTGCAAAGGTTAGCTGAAAATTTTTGGATAGTGTTAACGAATTAATGGAGTCGGGCTGGGGAAGGGAATTCTTCATTGGCGGGAGGAGGTTGGACCTTAGTAGAGATAGGTGAAGGCAGTAGGAGGATAGGAACTAAAAACACGTCTATGAATCGCTGATAGCAATTTGTCAGTCCAACGTTGGATCGTGCCAAGGTCGAAAGAAAAGCCGCTACCTTGTGATGTTGCGATGTGCTGTGTGTACATTAGAGCTGAGTATGATTGAACCCACCCTGATGCAGTATCACAGCGGTAGAGTATTGCACGTCGTGAAATTCTACACAGGCGTAGTGTACACTGGTGCAGGGTAGTAATGCGTCATTGTAACACCCTACAAATTTTAGTGATGGAGTAACGGTAATCGTTCCATCTTGCGAGAAGAGGCGAGTAGCAATATTCTGGCCATCATTGCCAGCAATAAATGAGGGCCATGATGATGGTTTCTATTCTTGCCTATTCCATCCATTTTTCTTTCTTTATGCCTTGATGGTGGTGGATGAGTGTCAGCATGTCAGAGTGACGAAAAAGAAACTGTACCTGCCACCCGTTACCAGTTCTTTTATTTTGAAAGTATGTACTTTGACTGTAAATACTGTAGTTCCTTTTGAAAAGTAACCTGCATTGGTAATAGAAAGCACGCTCCCTCTTAAGCTCGAATGCAAAGTAAAGTTCATGGAAACTAATCTGATTTTCGGTGGTGCATGGCAAATATATAAACACTTTCTTAAACATGTTTTACTAAACGTGTTCATCTCGTTTTTAAACTAATTGATTCCTCAATTGGTGCATGTTATCCGTAATCATCTCCACAGAAAACCACACTACAACCTCCCTTGGAAGCAATTCACCTCGGACTTTAAGATTTCCTCATGCACCACACTCATACAGAGGAGAGAAACTATTCCGACGATCAACAATGCAGAGTAAGCTCTTCCCGGTTTTAGCTCCAGCCATGTACCCCCACTGCCTAGTTTCAGCTTTCGACTCCCAATAGAATTTACCTTTTTCTATACATATCTTTTTCTATACACACTGTAGTTTCTTCACCGCAAATTGTAAAAATGGAGTAAGGGACGAAGTCCAAGGTAAATGTTACGAAGTGTCGATTCGTTACCTGGAGACTTGCACCGATCCGGAAATAAAACTTTCTGCCACACACCAGTCGGATTTTCCACCCCTAAGATTCATCTCGCCAAAATAGATCGGGCAAGGCATCTGAAAAAGTGGGCGAGCCGCAAGGCCGCCTCCCTGCTGCGGTGCTGCTTCCCCCGACCGGGGAGAAACGATCAAGACCATCTCGAGGACAACATCGAACACCCCGTCGGGGACGACAGAAACCCCGGAGAAGAAAACCACCGTTCATTTGGTGGGTGTTTGTCTCCTTCTGTTCTCGTTTTACCACCTAATGCATTGCTCGACGATGGGACATTTTGCAATGATAGCCGAAACGGAAACCCAGGCTCGTGGGACAGGTCGAATTGAAGGTAACAGTCGAGAGCATCACATAACGAACGATTTTGGAAAACGTATAGATTCGTCTTTCAGGATTCCTTCGAGAGGAGTGAACAGCAGCTGCTCACGCAGTTCGGTGGTAGTGAACATCGGCTAATCGCGTTCAATCGAATATCGTTCATTTCATAATCTTGTTGCATCGGTGTCACATCCGTGAATGCACCCAGGGAGGGAAAAAGTCATCAAGACATCGATCGCCCAGGATCAGCCTCATCTTCATCGCTCGAGCGCCAAATTTCCAGTCTGAGAGAAAAAATTGCAACTTTCTCAAATACATTTTTTCTTCCCCAGAGTCAATTTCGTCTCTCCATCCCCGGGGAGAGACGACCATGCCTGTTCCTGTCGAAGCCACCCCTGCCGGAGCTCCTGATCGAGTTCCTGTCTGATCTCGACCTGGTTGAGCACATGACTCAGCTCCCGTTCGGGTTCCCATCCAGATCGGGGCCACGCGACACGAATGAGGATCACCTTCGTGAGCCCTCTCACCAACGACGACTATCGCTCGTATTTGGCCGGTAAAAAGGTAATGCTCGAGTTTTGAAAAAACTCAGATGAGAGGTCCTATCAAGAGACCTAGAGTAACCTAAACACGAGCCATCATTCGATTAACTTTGTCACAGTGGTTATAGCAAAATGCTTTTATTTCCGGAATAGAAGCTTCGCAGACGTCACCATTAGGGGGCTGTTTTGTAAAACTTTGTAATAACTCAATGTTCAGATACTTTTGGTTACCACCATAACCGTTACATTGGGATAGGCTTCATTCTGATGTGACTAAAGTGCAACGCTTGATTGCCGATTCGAAAACTGGATTATTTCCACATCCCAAAGTTACTAACTGACGGCAACATGTATGAAAGAAATACTAATTTCGTTCCGCTAATCGATATGAATGGTTGATTGTGCCGGAAGGGTTCAGCAGCAGCTTCAGGGGTCGACAACCAGAAAAAATCTCAATAAAAAACGCACGATTGTCATTCCTTCATAAATAGAACCTGGTTTCGGGGTTTTGCGCGAAATCGATTCCCTAATACGATTAATAAAACCCGAGAAGTAAATATATCCTTTGTCCTTTGAGGAAAGTAGGAGTTTTTTTTCTTTCATAAAAACACGCTTGTTAGTAGCAGCTCTCTTCGGGGGCAGAATGAGTTTGATTCTCTTTTGAAAAGCTTAATTTACTGTTTCCAAAATTCGGTCTGCCAATGAGCTCATAGCAAAAGAGAGCAAGGGAGGACTGCTTTTTTTTCTGAATGGGATCCTCCAACCTAATCATTGCCGTGAAGCAGCCACAATGAAAATTACGAGATTTGAGGAGTTACACACCTAGGTGCCAGGCCACAGAAAAGGAACTTCCAGGTCTACTACACAAGTGACGAATAAATTCTCTTCCGACAGTCTGTTCCTGCACGTGGGTCTTCGAACCCGGAGCAAAGAAAACCTTCACCTACCAAATGGACTTCCTGGAATGCCAAGCAAGAATCACCGGCTTCATGTCCATCCAGTCCATCAACGGATCACGCGTCGGCTTCCGGGTCGAGTACGAGTCTTCCTCCGGGCTCGTTCCCCGGGAGACGGGGGGGGGGGGAATTCTTCCGCGTCTACTGCCCCCCGCCAGCGGAGTCCGAAGGCGCGTAAATCGCCGTACCCGACTCTGCGCTGCCTCCGTTCTCTCGGCCGGTCTGGAGCCTCGATATTCTTCAAATTTCATTTCTACACGTCCTAAATCCGTTACTGTTGAATTCCGCATTACATGGATAAGGATGGGATATCTGTATAATGCCAATTCGACCGTGCTCAAGATTGGGGCCCATGAAGCCTGAAAAATATCTAATTCGCTGATTCTGTGAATTTCAAGGACTCGCAGGCAGAATTATGCATAAAATAACATCTTGTTCATTCATCATAAAATATGCTAATCGACTGCAACTAGCGCGGCCAACGTTACGAGAAAAGGAATGGAAAAAAGGCAAGGCGCATCAGCCATGAATGCCAAAATTCAAGGACCTTTTCGTCCACTGTTGCAACATTAATCGATCTGATAGCTTTTCATACAGTAAATCAATATAAACGAATTTCAGTAATCTGCTCTTCACCAAAACATCCGAGTTTATAGATTCTCGTATGGTCGACAATAATCTGCAAGGAAGCTGTGGGATAATATATGACAGTGTCTATCTCTTGCAGGAGGCGATCCTCTTAATTCCAGTCTCATCTGTCGTATCTCATTTTCATCCTGGAGGATAGAGGTCATACTGCTCCGTCTAAAACAGCATTGGCAGTTGCGGTGAGGTGAGGTGAGTTGGTTGGGAAAATGGAAATTTCGTAAATTTAGAAAATTTTCAAATAATACTCCATCTGCAAATGGGAAGAATTTCCCGTAAAATGTAACCCTTCTCACCTGTCGTTAGAGTCTTAACGAAAAAAAAATTAATTTCTCCTCGCATACAAGAGCCTGGTGGTGGGAAGGACGTGGTTTAACTTGCAAAAAACAACTTATTTTGCAATTTTTTCGTCACGTGATGTTCACGGGACAAAAACTATCCAGGAATGATTGTGACGCGCTATTGCTTGCAACCGGAGATATACGGAGATTGTCAGAACTCTAGGGTAGTAGACAATATCGTCTCAGTAAAAACAAGATAATCTTCAGACTAATCACCATCCCAGGCTGGGCTAGGTCGTTCTGATGACTGTGGAACTAGTGAATTCTCTTGGATTGGGTCATTGAATTTCCACGAAAGGAATGTGATATCGTGTGTAAGAGATATCATGGTATTAGATTCATCCTGGTCTGTGGTCTTAATGAATGGTCCACGAATGGGGTGGATCGGAAAGTTGAATCTCTGTATAGCCGTCGTAACTAGTTGACGTGTGAATAGTGGCATTACGGTGATTAGTTCATGAAAGGCCTGTTGTATGCTGGGAGCGAGTCAAATGATATAGCCTCTGCTCCTCAGAGGCTGGTCGAAAATACTGGAGGTCTTTCCTTCTGTAGGTCCGCCCTCTTGCTGGGATAGGTCCTTGAGAGATCTGCGAAGCAGTTGATGAGAATAGGAACCGATTAAAAGTTAGGACGGAAACCTCAAAACCAGTGAAAACGTGAAGGAATTCGAAGTTCATTTTGCGGTCAAGAACTTCAGACGCGCACTTGTGTTATGAGGAAGTGATGAACCCACTCTGGCGTCTGATGAACTCGACCGCACAATGAACCTGCAGTTTCTTCGCATACACCTTTCCCAGCATAATACGCTTTGAAATACCCTCTCTTAACTTCCTAACTGGTTCCGATCTCATCAACTGTCTCAGCAGGCCTCTTAGTGGATCTCATGACTAGAGGGTGGAACTATAAAGGAAAGGGCTTAAAATACTTCGATAAGTCTCTAAGGAACACGGCTTCATCAGCTACCACTTTCCCAGCTCTTCTATGTCTTTCAGGAACCTATTATCATCATGCACACACATCTAGTTACCTTGGCCTTCAATAGACTCATCTTTAGGATCCAACCCATTCATTAACTTCACTGGAAAGGATGGATCCAGTTGCATATGATAAATGCTTGGAAAGAGACATATTCCTCTCATGGACTCACCACTATTCACTGACCCAATTTCAATGAATTCACTTGTTCCACAAGCATCAGCGGGACCTAGCCCAGGCAGAGGATGCTGATTATCTGAATTATAGAAGTTGACAACATCGTCTCACTAAGAATGAGAACATCTCCTAATCATCCCTTCGACAACCTCCCTCCGAAGAAGATGTGGTTGCTAACAAAGCCTTCTCCGCCCACCTATGGAAATTCCTTTCGCTGTTCCTTTGGTTGCGCAGCTACGTAGAGGCGTTCATTCAACTGTCAGTGTTGCTTGACGAGGCTACTCCTATATATCCATTTCGAAACGGGCTCGTAGCCTCATTGTCCGTGTGAAAACTACCTTCGAAAGTCCAATCTCCTGCCTTCATTCCAAGTACCGGGTAAGAAGGGTCCATTTGTGTCGGCCTCATTATGAAAAACAGATCAAGCGAGCGAGATTTCTCGCAATTAATCCGTTTATCCAACAAACTCCCTCACCTATGAGAAATTTTTTGTAATTTTGGATCACTAATCCACTCCCTCACCTTTGGTATAAAATAAATTTGAAAATTTTCCATTCATCCCTCTTCTTACCATTGAGGAATTACTTTATTTTTGTATAAATTTATCCACCTCCTCATGTGGGAGAAGTTTTTTGCAATTTTGGATCATTTTTCTGGCTCCTACATCTGGAGAAAAGAAACGTGGTGTTTACTATTTTTTAAGACTGCCAATAAATTCCTGGAAGATGATTGTGTTTTTCATTTATCATGTCCTAGCCGATGGCTTCATCTGTGGAAAATAAAAGACTTCAGAAATGCCAACTATAATGTCGACACCATCTTATTTATGATTGTGCTAAAGAACAAGGACGGTGATTAGCGTCAAAATTCCGAAATGAGGAAAATATAATATCTACCTACTAATCTGAAGAGCCCTTGGAAGAAAGTGAGCACTGATACACTGTTAGCAAAAATGGTTCAGCTGTTAACCTATTAAAAATTTATATGTAACCCGCTAAAGGATGAGTTGCAGGTGAACTCCCCTAAAGTTGAAAAATCAATTTGGAAAGGTTAAACATAAACCGACCTGGATTATTAATTTTCCCTTAAGTCAGACAATTTTATGGATGAGTGAAACTTGCAAAGACTTAAAAATATGCGGTAAACAATTATGTACAAACCAGGCTATTTCGTACCAATGTTTTTACTTCAGTGTCTGTAAAAAAATACTCCAGTTGCATAAATTTTCTCATGGTGGAAATAGTACGCTCTCCTCTGTTCGATAGGAGGATGACACATTCCAATTAGCAGAGAATTAGCATCGAATGTTGCATTCGATGTTCAAAGGGACGTTTATCATCCGAACAAGTGCACGAGGAGGAAGACAGGATTAGATAACGAGACCCTATTTCGACTGATTTATGGCTTCGTGGAACAGAACAAGAGAGATGAAACAACTTAGAACGGCTGCAAAAACAACGAGATAACGAAGTAAATATCAAGGTATTGTTAAGATTAGATAAGTCATTTACGTCTCGCCAGGGGGTAATTTTCATTTGATGGAACAGTCGATATGTAGAGTTCTCCAGTTAATCGACACGGTTCCCCGTCTATATAAACTGGCCGAACTTGACAGTGAAAATCATATCACAGATCTATTCATAGACCTCCATTGCTTAGGCAGCAACTGGACAACGGAGAGGCTGAAGACAGTCATGGAGTAAACTGGGACTAATCTACTCTACTGCATGCTGTTACGTTTACTGATGCTCATTTCTCTTTTATATCAGGTTGTAAAGGTGAAATTTAGACATTTTCCAGAAAACAATTTATTGACAATTAACAACGACTAGAGTTCAGTCTTGCAGGTAATCACCATCAATATCAATCACATCTCGCCACTTTTGCTGCAAACTTTCAATCCCGTGAGCATAGAATGACTGGGGCTTTTCTTTGAAGAAAGTCTCGAGCTCCGTTCTCACCTGCTCATTGTCATTGAACTTCATACTGGCAATGTGGTTCTGCAGGGCGCGAAAGAGGTGATAGTCAGTTGGCGCCAAGTCTGGGCTGTAAGGTGGATGAGGCAGAACCTCCCAGCCCAGACTGGCCAGCTTCTCTGAGGTCATCTTTGCTCTATGTGCTGGCGCATTGTCGTGGTGGTATCGGACTTTGTCAATTTGTGGACGAAGTTCTTTGATCTTAGTGTTCAAACGGTCCAGTTGTTCACAGTAGAGTTCTTTGGTAACTGTGGTGTTGGGTGGAAGCAGCTCCATCATGATGACGCCACGTACATCCCACCAAACGCAGATCATCACCTTCTTCTGCAATTAGTGTTCAAACGGTCCAGTTGTTCACAGTAGAGTTCTTTGGTACCTGTGGTGTTGGGTGGAAGCAGCTCCATCATGATGACGCCACGTACATCCCACCAAACGCAGATCATCACCTTCTTCTGCACCATCGGCCCTTTGGGAGTTGCAACAGCTGGTTCTTTTTTGCTCACCCATGATCGCTTGCGTGTCACGTTGTAGTGGAAGACCCACTTCTCATCTCCAGTCACAATTGATTTCAGCCAGTGGAATGTGCAGTGCTTGGTGAGTATTGAATTGCAGATGGTGACTCGGTTCGTTTTGTTCGCAGCGGTCAATTCATGAGGCAACCACTTGCCTAGCTTGTTCAACTTGCCAAGAGTGTGAAGGTGATGGGCGACGGTTGTATGGGAACACCCAAGTTGTTGTGCTAATTCTCTAGTGGTCAACCGTGGATCGTCTTCTATAAGTTGCAGGAGAACTTCATCATCAATGGTGGAATCGCGGCCTGGATGTGGTTCATCTTGAAGCGAGAAATCACCATCCTTGAATTTCTTGAACCAATTGTAGAGGTCAACCGTGGATCGTCTTCTATAAGTTGCAGGAGAACTTCATCATCAATGGTGGAATCGCGGCCTGGA